TTTCTGCCTCTCCCTTGCTCTGAAAGGCTGCCTTAGTTGCTTTCTTCCACAGTGAATGATTTCATGTACGCAAACTATTTTCCTCGTCCTCAGTACATGTGATCTCTTCTTCCTTGTCGTATCCTTCCAGAAGATAATTAATTTGAGATTTGTATATATCTGACTCCAGAGTTTATACTGCTATTAATTTTATTGCAGTAGCATCTGCCACTGCCTAATAACATGAAGACAGCAAGCAGAAAATCTGGCTCAGAGCAGAGAACAGTTAAAGGGAAAGAGAGAGACTTTGAACAGTCAACCGTATTCCAAAACATATTAGATGGCTCATATAAACAACAGATTTATTTTTAGCTGCAGGTTTTGGCAATAAAGAGTGAATCGAATTTCTGCTATCCTTGACAGGTGTATCATCCATGGTAGCAGTTTATAACTCTGCAGGTTATTGCTAGTTTTCTAACTGCTGTCACTTTATTTGTGTGATGCTGTATGTTCTAAAATGCAGTCTTAACAAATGTAAGCAAAATGGAGGAAACTTAAACTATCCTCTAAGGTATTTTCAGTATTTTATTTTGAGAATTGAGCCCTACTGCCATGAGTCTTACCTTCCTTGCAGTCCCTCCATGGATTTCCTTTTCCTTTTTGAGTCCTTCTCTAAGATCTAATCTGTTGCGTGCTGCAAGCAGTAGATGTTATTCAATCTGTTTCACTGGACCTGGAGAATCTATTTCATCATATCATCAGCAGGTATATTACCTCCTTTCCTAACCACTCTCCTATCTTCCCTGGTTTGATATCATTGTATTGCCAGCAGTCTTTTATTTATAGTGGCAAAAAAGGAAAACAATTTTGGTATTTAAAGTCAATCTTCACGATATTCTTGCTGGAGGAAAGATGGATTCCAGAATGGAAAGTGAACATTGTTTGCTTCAGTGGTAAACAATTAGGTTGTTAAATGAACAAGGAAAATTATGCACACCATGAAGCTTCTGACATTCTGGAAGCTAGTGTTGCAAGACTATGCGGGGTTTGGAGAGTGGGACCAGGGCAAGGGCGAATTATTTCAGGGAGGATCTTCCTGATATCTTGTCAAGGCCCAGAACACTGTTCTGTTGTGCTATCTTCTTCCTCTGATCACAACAGTGATGTAATCCCAGGGGACATCAAAATAAGAGAAAAGTTGTACTAAATGCCCTCTTACTTCCCAGGAGAACAGTTCTGCAAAGAATGATGTGTGTATAATAACTTTGTGTCAAAAAATTGCTTACTAATTTTTTGTAGCATTGCAATAGCTGGTAGCATTGGACTAGAGGAAGAGCAGATCATCACTTAATTCTAGGCCAGGGAAGTGACAATTGTAGTTCTTGTGGAAATTGCTATGTGACAAATGTTTCTAGAACACTCTGACATCCCTAATGATTCTCCTTGGAGCCAAGGGTTTCTGCCGCCTTAACACAGGAGAGAATTTCACAAATGGGATTTGTTTTGTCCAAGTGAATAGTTCCTTTGGCCTTAGCGAGACTTGATGTAAAAATAATTTTGCAGTACTTTACCATATTCAGATGTAGAGTAGAATGTCCTCAAGTAGCTAATCAGGCATGGCATGTAAACTTTTTGTGTCATATTATAATGACACATGTCTTCAGATGGACAATTTAAAACATGGCAGACTTTGTTAGAGTGCATCTCCGCATTTCAGTTGATATTTCTTGAATGTTCTAAGGGTTAGTCATCCCTTAGTCAGATGTGAAGGGAATGTGATATAGGGGGTCTTTAAACTTACTTTGTGATTTGCACTGTGCAATGTTTCCTGAAGATGGAGAACATATCATTTATGATGAATGAGGAGCAGAAAGTGAGTGTGGAACCTGAGCCTGGGAACTTGTGGCTGAAAGACCTTGATGAACCTACACGTTTGGATCTTTCTTCTTATGAAACACCTTTTGTGAAGGTTTGTAAAAGAGAATGATATCAGATTTTACTTCTGTGGCCTGAAATAAATTTAGGCTCTTTTGTTATTCTGGGGCCAGACTTTACAATTTATCCTGCTACGTTGTCTGAAAGCTTGAGGCTAACTTACAATTAGAAGTGCGGTTTTAAATGTTTGAGATCGGTGAATCTTTTGGGAATATCTAAAATTTCATGCTAAAATTTCATGTGCTCGAATAGCACATAATGTGTTTTTGAGGTGAGGATGAGAGGCAAGGAGATAATTATTAATTAATCAATCTAATCATTTTTTAATGACCAGAGAGTAAATATGTTCCCTGCTTCCTTACAAGCTGTGAAAATGGTACCACAATAAATGTTCTGTGCCAAAACAGGTAAATGACTGTGAGCCGCAAACTGGCACAGTGCTCTGTTCTTGCTGTTTCCATTAACATCAACAATATAACAAAGGAAGATAATGCTTATTTTTTAGATTTCTAGAAAAAATTCTTATTTTCTAGGTTTCTAGGAAAAAAAGGAAAAACTAAATTGGGTACTTATGTCTTTCTTTTTGTAGATTGTTTCAGTGGTAGTGTGGGACTTTGTGGAGCAGCTTGTGCCAGTGCTGAGAGAAACTGTGGGAAAATGACAGTGGACACAGAAATGTTAACAGTGTGGATCAAAGTTTGAAAGACTTGTACTAAATAACTATTCTTACCCATATCCTATCCTCATGAAAGCATTAGATAAGAAAGCTTTGTTTGGATGCTGCCCTAACCTTGGCCATTATTAGTTTTATGAGGCACAAATGGATGTTAGTGTCTCAGCTCTGTTTTGTAGAGTGTACAAGAGCTTGAGAGAAGGTTACTAAAAAGCTGAAGAGCTTTTGTAGAGACAAAAATCTAATCACTAGATGATCCACCTCTGTGTTTCTTGACATTTCTGCACCACACATACTCTATAATAGTCTGTGCTACGTCTGCAAAGCTATTTCCACCATATCCCGTGTAAAGCAATGGTACAAATGTGATGGGAATTCTTTACTAAGAAAGAACTAATTTGCATCAAAGCATGGGCTTTCTCTAGAATTTATTCACTTTTATATACTATTTAGCTTCAGAGAGCAAGTACTTTTGTTTTGCATGCAAGGTTTTGTTTAATTTCTCCATTTTGACTCTTTTTTTTTGCCTCATCTTTTAAAACAGTTTAAAAATGTGGGACAGACCCAATAGAAGATATCAAGAAATCCGCTAAATGTAAATGTCTAAAAACATGTATTGAAAGTTGATATTTGTCAGTAAAATTGTTCTGAAGTTTGATTTTTTTGAATCTTACTATGTAAAAATTAACTTGATTTTTATTGTGACAGTGGCTTTTCTCTTTCTAGCAAGAGCTGGTTTTTTTTGAGATGGAGAATTTTTATTCCACTTTTTATTTCCACAACCATTCAAAGTTGTTGCAGGAAAGAATTTTGTTTCTGAATCTTCTTGTTGTTTAGTCATGTTGTAATTTCCTAGAATTGTATGCAAGCACTTCAGAAGGCTGGTATGTGCTCTTAATGTGGAGGCCTTGGTGTTGGTTTTAAGCTGTAAGATTCCTGAGGACTTCATAGGTTCTTCCCTGGGCAGTGACTGATGACTGGTTTCCCTCAACAGTTACTCTTCTGAGAAGCTCCCGCAGAATACACTTCCCTCCCAGTAATTGGAAGGCAGGTATTAGTTGTGAGCCAAGCTCTTTAGCAAAGCAACAGTGTGCAAGTGCCTTGATGAGGGATCGATACATAAAAGAGATTGTATATGAAGATTTAAAAGGAATGAATTGAACTTAATTCTTTTCTCTAAAATCAGGTACCAAGAAAGTCTGGTTGCAGTTTCAGCAGAGAGAATGGGCAGCAAGCTTTATGCTATAGATTGCATCCAGGATTGAAACAAATTACAGTAACTTACTTTCTAAAGAAAATTGAAGAGCTACGGCAGAGCTTTTATTCCCTAATGGTGCATCCATCAGTAGCGGAAAGAATTGATCCATGTTCATTATACATTGACCATGATTGAGTTTGTGTAACGTCAACTTAGTCCATCAAATAAGGAACAGTTTGTCTATTTTTATAGCCTTCTTAAGGCTTTAGACAGAAACTTTAACTGAACAGGAGAAAGTCAGTAGGCAGGATATAGGATGTTATAATCACATGCTTACTTCATTCCTTTATCCTGGAATACCACGAGCTACCTTGGTCCTTGGACCCTGTGGGTCATTTGACCATTTTTTTTTGTTTGTTTTCACCTATATAAAAAATAATCAAATGTTGCTTATGTTGTTTATTCAGATTCTCAGGAGAAGGGTGGTGTCTTTTTGTCTGTCTTGTCTGGGTCAGCTCGGCTGGTAAGTAGGCTGTAGTGAGAAAGCTAGATTTTTGCTCTGGCTTCATGTAGGAGGAATCTAAAGAAGAGTTATGAGACCTGGGTTCCCATCCCAGCTCTAATGCTACCTGTGGGCTGGTGCTTTTAGACTTTAATTTGATGACAAAGATGTTTACCATTCTTGGTAGAAATGCTGAGTGCTGTAAGAGGCCTTTATGTATATGCACAAACTGAGTAAGTCCTCTGTATCTCTCTGTTCTTACGTTTGTGTATTTGGGCTTGGGTATGTGTGTGTGGTTTTGTTTTTGGTTTTTTTTTTTTTTGAGTGTGGGAGGGAATGAGAGGAAGTAGACTTTAAGAACACTGCTAATTCAAGATTTAGAATATGAATTTATTTTGTGTTACTAGATAAGTTATACTGCTACTTGATTATTTAGACATTCAGTGGATAATGCTTCGGAGAAATAATTTCCTAGATATAGTTGCATTGACTCTTTTCTTGAAATTAAGAGGAAAATCCGGTACCTGGAGTAACCTGTTTGAATATATTTGAGCATTTTTTTCAATGTCTCTGTATGCTGAGCCATTCCCACTGAAGCCAGGATAGTGATCAATTGCAAAATACCTACTGCAGTATGTTTAAGAAAAGTAAAGAGCTTGCTTGATATGCGTGGAAGGAGTGTCTGTTTCACACTGTGTGTTTTTCCTTATCAGGTGAGGTGTCTGCATTTTGCTCATCTGACTTTCTACAGGAAAAACAACGTGAGTCAAGGTTCTTTCCATTTTTTCTTTGTATCCTATGCAAATGTGACAGAAGACCACACAAGTCTATCAGGCTTTGCCAAAATGTTATTTTGAAAAGATGGGGTGGATGGAGGAAAACCAGGATTCTGTTCTTTAACCTTGATGAGGATTGAGAACATGAACCAAGAAGGTTCCTGTAGTATTTTAACGCATTAATGTCTTACAGCATTGACAAGGTAGACAGGGATGGGATGTTAAGGTACAACTGCTGATATACGTGATATTTTAAGCAGGATGGGAATGTGGCTAGAATTGGAGTTGTAGGAGTCTTCAGTGCTTTATGCCCTGATCCCACCTACACCATGTGTGCTCAGAGAGGTGCAAGATGTTGCACTGTTAAGGTTTTGGAGTGCTGTTGGAACAAAAAGCAGACCCACACCTGGTCCATTAAAGATTCCTTTGCTGCCAGTGTCCCCATTAGGTGTGTCACTGTACTGTTGATTTTTTTTCTGTGCTTTTTGCACTGCTTGTTAAATAGGACTAATTAGCTAATAGAAATAAATACTGTCATCACTGCTTTCCCTAGGAGCAGTTCAGTTGCCCTCATAGAGTTCCCAGTCAAATGTGACTTTTACCATTCATAAGCACTTGCTATTACTCTGGCTGTGCCAGCCCTACCACTGTGGGAATCATGCTGTGCCCAGCTCATCTGAGAAGTGAAGCTGTGGAGTGGAATGTAGATGCTGAGCTAGATCTCACGCTGCATCTCCAGTGCACCACTCTAGTTGTGTACACGATTTGGCAGTCTGTGTGGAGGAAAGCTCTTCAGATGAAGAAATAGTATGGAGTTGACACAGGCAGTGTCTCCTGCTGTGACTCCGAGAAAAGGATTTGGCACAGTCATACATGTCATTATTTTCTTCTAAGCAGCACAGCTTGTGAGAAACTGGATCTTCATTATGCTAAAATATTCTTTGTCTTTGGTTAATAGAAAGCATATGTTACAGCCCTCATGTGAGCATATTTCTCGTGACAGATTTGTTGTTATAAACAGTAATAGCACAGCAGATGGCAAGGAACTGCATGATTTCTTACAGGAGTGTAATAATAGAAATAAGTTTTCTTTGGGGACCATGACCCTCCTAAGTGTGTTTTTTTTTTTTTTTTTTTTTTTTTTTTTTAATCAGTATAAATTTATCCGGGTTCTACTCAAATCTTTAGTTTTAACCCAAGTTCCTTCCCACTTAATATGTCAAAATATTAAGGGTGCTTAGTACAGATTTAAAATGTACTTCATATTCTCAGAAGACTTCTGAAAACTAGTCCCTGTGTCCCAGATGTAGAGGTGCTGGTTTACTTTTTCTGTGGCCAGGGATTGTGCTGACATGGCTTATTTACATGCGAAATCACTTTCTGAACTCCTCCTTTCACCTAGCTGTCCTTTCCTGCTGCTCTCTGATCTTCAGATCTGATGCACTCCATCTCGGGGACCATCTTGCAACAAGTTACTTTAGAGAACGATGTAGATGCACAGCTTGCTTGGATGTCTTGTAAGCTGCTTGTGAGCATGTGCAACATATCCTAGATGAGCCAGTTGTGGGATCTTGAATACAGCACAGTCTATGTCAGAGCATGCTGATTCACTGTGGTCTGTTTAGCAGCTTATACTGGAAAATCTTTTCCCTAGCGATGAAAATTTTTCACCAAGATAGTATCTACTCTTCCTGGTTTTTGACTGTTAGACTGAAAACTAGTTTAATTTAATTAACATGATTGCATAGAGTTTATGTCTGTGACCTACCTTCCTTATAATTCATCATCTGATCAGCTCCAGACAAGCATAAGATTCCCTGCCTCCCTTCTTCTAAATCCAGCTTCTTTCACTTTAATTTGTTTGGTGACTGTATTGCTAAGAGCAAGTGAATTGCCTGGGATAGTTCTTGGTGAGTTTTGTCCAGTGATGTCTTTGCAGTCAGTATCTCTCCTGTCAAAAGGTGCTTAAAATTTCTTGATGATTTTTATAATGAGGCCTTATGTTTTAAATTGAGCTTATTGATGATCTCCTGAAAGATGGAACTTCTAAATTTCATACTGTTAACACAGCTGTTTAATAATGAGGATGCTGTTTCAAATCCAGATATTTAAGAAGCAATTTTAATTTCAGCCAAATAAAAGTATTCACAGTGCTTAGATTTAGTCACCTGCTTTAATTAAGGTTACCAGGTATTCCATGTTGGCCAAGTTAATTCCAGAATACAGGAGTGCAGGATGTGTTTTACCACTTCAGTGACATGGATGCTATGTTGTTTAGGATGCTATATTGTTGCAGCAGGAATTTTCTGCTTTATGTCCAAAGAAGGGGGGGGGGGGGGGGGGGGGAAGGAAGGAAGAAAAGTAATCCATGGAGACTTTCTGTAGTGAATTTTCTGTTTAGTCAACAGCGATGCAATTTTGGCAGCGGTAAAGTCAGAGTAAATAAGAGAGAAGCTCCTCTAAAGTTTGTAGTATGCCTGGAGTAGGATGCTAGTACTTGGACTCGATGCTGTTATATCTGAATCCGATGGGATTGTTAATTGTAAAATAGCCTCTCACAACAACATTGAATCTGCAGCTATATATGGCATATTTGCTTTAGCTAAAGTTGAAATGAAATCATAACTATTTCAAGATGGAACAGACATCACTCTAATCAGGAAAACTATTTAACTGGAATGTCTCCCAGGGAGCTGATTTCAGACCAGTCACAGTTAGGAGCCATTTCTGGTGTTTAAGCAGATGGTAATTCGATCTAACCAAGATGCCTTTTGATGATTCAGCAGTTAGACCTTTTGTATATTCCAGGCTCCTGCTAGTTCTGCTTGTTTGCTCATCTGGCTGTGGCACTCCATCCCTCCACTGTACTGTGTAAGAAGGGAGAGTTGCAAGAGTAGATGGCCTATGCTTAACTCCCAGCATATACTTTTGCTCGTTCCATCTGTTTGTCTCTTTCCATCTTACCTCTGTTACTGATGTCAAAAGACAAGCACGTAGAAAGCTCTAAAAGGAATTCAGCAGAATTGAGATTAGAAATCATGAACAGAATTTATTTTTAAATGTTATTTTCCCTGGGGCAGAAACAGGAAATTAACTTCTTTTATTTTCACGAAAATACCCCATCCCTCTTCCATTTTTCAGCAACTGCTGTTTCAGAGTGCTTAATTATCCCACCTTGTGCTTTTAACTGCTCAGCTAAGGTGTCTGAAGCTATTCTTGTAGTTGCTTCAGTTGACACAATTACATGAATGCTAACCCAAAGAGAGAAGAGGCTGTCCCTGGCCGCAGGAGAGCAGAATTATCCCCTTCCCCAGACTGAGTTTATGAATTATCCCCCTCCCTGGATTGAGTGTATGTTTTTGAAAACTTTTGGTATTGAAGAAGCAATAAAAAATGAGAGCTAACTGTATGTGTATTTATGAATGGCAAATGGGCCAGGTGTGTGGGGTTTTTTTTTTTTTTTTTTAAGTCATATGTTTGTTATTAGTGTACATTACTGAGTTTTTGAACAACTAGATGGTAATTACTTTCTTAGTGCAACACTGCAGACAGACACTGGTATAGGGGAATTATTGGGTACTATGCTTAGCTTTTCCAACATGCGGTGACTTCTTGGAGTGGTTCTGTGCTAGAGAAGAAGAAAAGATGTCTGAGAGACTAGCTAACTTTTATGTTAGAGCTGCTCTTCACCCTGGCTTTATGTAAAATGTATTACAAAAATGCACCTTCTAAAATTTTCTTAAATGTATTGTGAAAAGTATTGTGAAAAACTTAACAGACTGAAAAAAAAAATGACACTGCAGCATTCTGATGGTATGCAGAAATATACTGCATTTCTACTTTTCGTCACTTTTATTCCCTGCTTGTTGGCTTTGTTTATCAATTATCTATATTGGTTTAAGATTTCCATTCACTATCAAGAAAAGGACAGCGCTTGCTTGAGGTAGGCAAGTTTCAACTAATGTATCTTCTCCTATAAGATACCTGATTCTGTCTGATAGAAATCTTCCAGCATAAAACCAGTTCTGCGTGCATATTTTCTGCTTTGATTTTTCTCTGGCAAATTAAATCTGGGAATTTGTGGCTCCAAATGGACTGGAGGTTTTCTGATCCCTGTGCCTAGCAATAGGAGACAATGGAAACTGAGAAATTGGGACCTTTTACTGCAGTGGGCTGGGGCTACAACTATACACCTTGCTCAGAGGATAGAAAACAAACACCGTGATGTCTTCCACCATGTCTGGTGATCCATCTAGACTGCTAGTGAAGTGAGGAGCTTGTTTGCATCCATGTGAGGTAGGAGCCTGTACAGGCCCCTCATGATATGTATTTTCTATCATAGAATCATAGAATCATAGAATGCCGAAGGTTGGAAGGGACCTCAGAGGTCATCGAGTCCAACCCCCCTGCTCACGCAGGGTCACCTAGAGCACGTGGCACAGGGCTGCATCCAAGCGGGTTTTAAAGATCTCCAAAGAAGGAGACTCCACAACCTCTCTGGGCAGCCTGTTCCAGTGCTTTGTCACCCTCACAGTGAAGAAATGCTTCCTTAAGTTCCTGTGGAACTTCTGATGCTTCAGTTTGAAGCCATTTCCTCTAGTCCTATCACTGTCCACCACTGAAAAGAGGCCGCCCCCCTCCTCCTCATTGCCTCCCTTGAGATATTTATACACGCTGATCAGGTCCCCCCTCAGCCTCCTCTTCTCCAGGCTGAACAGACCCAGCTCTCTCAGCCTTTGCTCATAGGGCAGATGTTCCAGGCCTCTGATCATCCTGGTATTGAAATTGATCATCATGTGTATTGAAATTGTGCGGCACAATATTAGCAATAATTTGATAACTGTAGTTTCTGCTATGTATGTTCAGTGATGTCACTAAGATCTGGTAAAAACTGAGAGATCACTAGTTTTTGTCAGTAATGAAATATCTTACTACTTTCATTTTATGTAAGAGGCAACGGTCTGCTGCCCCTGTGGACAATAGGATATTGGTCTTCAAAATTCACTTTTCTCAGTAATATAAGGTCTCTTGGACTACAAAAAGTATCTCTGACTTTAGGAAATAATGAGAAAACTGTTTTATTTTCACTAATTTATACCTAGATGACATCAAAGAGATCATAAAACAACTTGGTCTATTTTAGTTTCAACCTACAAATAAAAGCAGAAAGAAATAAGTTTACAGAACATGGCCATTAAAAAAGAAAAAGCAAAAAACAAGCAAAAAAACCTGTGAGTTTGTGTTTTGAACAAGAGGCTTTAAGAGGCTTTTTGTGTCAGGATCCTGTGCTTGGACTTGAGCCATTTTGACGGCATCCCTTACTGATGAGGCAACATCAAAATGCTACTTAAATCCTATGTAAAGGAGATTGATTAGCAGCCACTTAACTAGGACAGACCATATGGCTCCATTTCACTGGAAAACCCCAGTGCTTGGCTTTTGTACTGTGATACAGAATGAGTGTTGCTTGACTCTGTCTTCCCTGGCAATCCACCATCCTCAAAAACAATTTTCTGACACACTGAAAAAAAATTGTAAACAGAATTTCTGTTTCTTGTCAACCCAAAGATATATATTTTTTCAGTGATGACGCAGTTTCGGAGTTTCTAAAAGAAATTACTAGTTGCTGAAAACTACATTTACCTTCTTAAATATTGTCTTAGATTTAACTGAAACTTTCATACTTTATGAAAATATTTTGTTTTAAACCGCTTGAAGATATTAAGGAAATATTCTAGTATTTTTACTAGATTAGTAAATTTTTAGCAGCTGGATAAATCTGAACCCTTGTTAAGCAATGAACTACTTGTTTCTATCAATTTTCATAGAGTAATTCTTTGAGATAGCCGTTTATTATTTAGTATAAATAAAATTGTTGCTTCTTGTTACATGAGAGATGTTGTATTTAGACAAAGGTTAAGATATTGGACTCAGCAGTGAAATCATGGCAAGTTGTCACCTTAGCACATTTTAACGAGTGTCACCTTAGCACATTTTAATATCTTTCCATATTCTTATCTTAAAAAAAGATTTTAGAAAATCTATGCTGAGTATCCCAAATTGCATGCCTGCCCTTAATATGCTTGGAAATAGGACACAATGGTCAATAATATTCCTGTTAGAGACAAGTCAGAAGGTGTGTGTTTTTATAGCAAAGTTTGACTAGCAAAATCTCTGAGGTGTTTCAAAGTACTGGAAGAGACAGGAAGATGTAGTGCCCTTTCATTCCTCATGCAGAGGTTGTCCCTGTGTATAAATGTTATGCTCAGGCTGACAAAAGTGCTTTCATCTTGTTGGTTTCCTAGGTAACCAACACAGGTGCAGCTGTAGAAAATGGACTGAGTGCAGCCTGAAAACACCAGAGAGATTATGCAGCAAGTCTTTTTAAGTGACTGTAGACATGCTGTGTCTTAGCAAACATCCTCCTTTTTTTCTCTAGAACAGGGAAGGTCTATTCTGAAGGCACGTCTTTTCATAACCAGTTGCAGCAGCTTTGCTTCTGAAGTCCAGACAGTGGACACCGTCTTGGTTTTAAAGTTGATGTCCTAAAACTTAAAACAGTTGCTATTCAGTTAGTTTATGTAATAGCAAATGGGTTTTTAGGATTCTTTAGTTAAAAGTGTTCACTCATTTAATCTCAGTTATTTAGCTGAATTTTCTGATTTGGTTCTTAATGCAGTTGAACTAACAAGTGTTGCAGAGTTGCTGTGTGTTGACCAAAAGAGTCTGAGATTCTGTTCTCACTTAAGACAAAAGCATTCGAAGTACTATTCTGATACCAGTGCAGAGGTCTTCGTTGTTACAACACAGGATGATGAATTCAAGATCCTGTTGTGATAAAAGGTGTTAGCAAAACAAGTTGTCTCTACCTGGTTGTCAGATCTTACGGTTTTTGAAGGAAAAACTGTCTCTTCTTCTATGTTTCTGTAACTCCTGATGTGCAGCCTACTAATGGAAAACTGTGGCTGCTTCTGGGAGTTCCCCAGGTAAATCACAGAGGTTTGTAGCGGAGTTGGGTGTTGATCTTTGGAGTTGTCTTGATATAATTTTCTGGCTTTTTAAGACAGTAGCTCATGCCGTAATGAGAATTTGAAGACCCAGTTCACCTGCCTACATATAAGTGAGTTGTACAAACAGAGATGTTCCAGAGTATCTTTGAGATACCTGCATGGAACTAGCAGTGATGTTTCAGAATCTCGGGTGACCTCTTCTACTGCTGCTCCAGAAAGGCATGGTGACTAACAGCAGCTCTGGTTCTGCATTACTTTTCCATAAACACCTGAATCCTGTTCCAAATGTTGCTGTAAGAGCAGAAGGTCCTTCAGAATGTAGGACTTTAAGAAATCTTTTCTAATGTTCTCTTTGTGCAAAGGATTTCCTGTGAGGAGACTTCTCTGTATTGAAACTATAAATGTGTCTGACCTTCACATATGTCTGTAAAAGATGAAGCAGCCAAATATTTATTCAATGAATTATGTCTTTTCCCTTTTAGGTGAATTATATAAAGCCTCTTTAAGGAAACAAAGATTCCCTGCACAAAACAGTATTGAAATACATGAGGACAATGAGGTGAGATTGTTTGCCGAACAAACTCTTCTGATTTCTGAGGAACATGTGGAAACCATATTGATGACAAAAGTCAAGCTAACACAATTTCATGGTAGCCTGTATAGCTGTATAATTTTGGGGGGTATTTTTTTCATCTTCTGTTAAATAAAAATGGCTATTAGCATCACATCTCTAGTACACACTTTACCCAGTTAAAAAAAAAATTACTGTTTATAACAAAGATCAACTCATGTTTTCTTCTAATCTTTATCTCAACTGATCAACTGATTCTCAAAAAACACAAAACAAACACCTTCCTTGTTTCATAACATGAAATAATAGATTTGGCCTGTTCAGGAGCAGGAAGGAAGCAAATGTTGAAGTGGTGAAAACTGCTTGGCAAACATCCTTCCAGTCTTTTTTAAATCACAGCTGGTTTAATTTCCTTAGGATGCTGGTAATTTCACTTCGTTCATAATCATGAGGAGATGGACAGTTTCTTAAATAGGGCATGTAGGATAATTTGTGGGTCAAGATGATAGTCTTGTCTTGTCATATGGTTAGAAAATACCAAGACCATAATACCTTCTCATAAAACTGGATAACTCTTGCAGGAAGCTCTGCTGCTTTACCTGTAGTAGTTATCCTGTAACTGTTTTTCCTCATATCCGTTGATCTCCTAGAATCATGGGCTACTTACCAAGACTGTCAATTTTGGTATGGATTCCTTGATCAAATTGCTAACTCTGTGATTCTTATTGTAAGAATCAAAAAAAAAGAGATTTTAGGGGAGGGGTAGTGGAATATTCCTAATAGACCACACAGTCTCAGCTCTCATAATATATGATGGAATTACAAGACTTTTAATATTTTGGTGTGGTTTTCCATTGTTTGGCAAGTGCATATGCAGTCACTGGAAATTGTCATAGGCCTTTTAGATTGTATAATATTGTATAATTAACTTTGTTGGAAATATGACCCAATTTTCTAAAGAGCAATTATTCTCTCTACTTGGTGTTTCAGTGAAAATGAAAGTTTTATGAAGCAGATTCAGCAGCAGTTATGAAACTGATAACAGAACTGTTTGTTTTATGAAGCAGATTCAGCAGTAGTTATGAAGCTGATAATAACAGAACTGTATGTTTTTTAGAAGTTGGGAGGAATACTTGCTTAAATTCTGCTCAAGTTAACTGATTGAAGTCCTCTGTCCAAACAGTTGACATACAGGAGACATCAAAAATCTGACCTTTTTCATTTTTTAAGACTCTCAATCCTAAAGTCCACTGAAAATGATGACAGGGACAAATGAATTTATTTGCTTTGACTCATCCAGTGAAGGATGCTAGTTAAAACCAGCTGTGCTAAGAGACAGTGACTTGAGCAATTCTGACCTTCTGGATTTTTCCTTCTGTTTTGAATCTTTTTGTGCTACGAACTCATCAGCAGTGTCACTTATTTACAAGTTAGCATTGGCTGTGGAAGCTATTCATAGGTTTTGAGAGAAATTAAATTGCCTCTTTAAATAACTGAAATGGGAGCATATAAGGGTGAAAGTAGTAAATTAGAACAAGGAGAAGTGGGACCTTAAATGTTCTCAGTCTGCTGATCAACACATCTAAGTAACTGCGTAAACAGATATGAGATATCTTGGAAAAACACCATTAGAAGATGAGCAAAGAAGCTAAAATTATTCTACTGGATACTAAAAATTATGGGCCGAACAGAGATCTGTTTTCATGCAACTTCAAGAGGAAATTTTCGCCTCCTAAGAGCTTTTCTTCACTTACATCAGATGTGCTAACTGTGCCAACTGTGTTGGCCAGTTTCTTCACAAATGCATAATACCGTGATGGGACCTGCATTCCTGTGACCTGAATAATTTTACGAAGTATTAGGCACAAATAACTGTTGTGGTAATATATATATAGGCCTGTTTTGTTTTTAAAAACTTGCTATATAATCCTGTAAGCCAAGCTAGTCTTTGCTCTAAATATCCTACAGTTTAGATAGGCTGAAAAGAACTATTAAAGAGAAAAGGCAACATAGAGTTACAGCAAAGTTGCAAACATGATTGTTAGATTTTGATCAGTTTGTGAGACTGGGAAATAGTGAAATGTAAAATCTTTAAACTCAATGAAGAGGTCTTGCTGAAAATAAATGGAGATTATTTCACCACGTTACATCCTTAATGGATTTTTTTTAACTACTTTCCTCCTCAGTAAATCACGCGATCTAGCAATCCATCGTTCTCAGGAAATGAAGAAATGTTAGTATTATTTTTATCTTGTATTCGTATTTAGGAACTAGAAGGCTTTGGGAATCATACTGTCCAAAGCAAAGAAGAAAGTGGTAGTCAAAAAAGAACCACTTGTTGGATGTACTTTCCTTGAGTGTATGTGAATCTGAAGAGGGTTTTTTTTTTGTTTAATTTTTTTTTAATGGTGAGGGGAGTTGTGAGCAATCGTTTTTTCCAGTCTCAAGTAGCTAACATCATTTTTATTTCCAGAGTACATCACCTCTTCTTCGAAAGTGGATTATTGTCTGTGTGTCTGTGCATATACTTACATACTTACAAATGTATTTCTGAGGTTTGTGGCTTTCTTTCAGGGAGGAGCTCAAAACCAAAAATGCCGAACTCATGTGCTCATTTTGATACTACATGGTGGGAACATCTTAGACACTGGAGGAGGGGACCAGAACAGCAAGTTGGCAGACATCAACACCTTCAATTCTGTGTTTGAGAAGGTGACCCAAGCCCATTTCCCTGCTGCTTTGGGCCACATCTTAATCAGACTTGTTCCCTGCCCAGCAGTCTGTTCGTCGGCTTTCTCTCTTGTTTCCAAGTAAGTTAATTTGCCTTTCGTAATGGCTAACTTTGCCCTGAAATTTTGAATAGCTATCATCCATCTCTCTCATAATGAAATATTGTAAGTTTGTTGTAGCCTTGTGTGTTTTGAAAGACTTGGGACAAGGTTTTATCCATTTTTAAGTGGATGCATTAATTCAAAATCGTCTGCTTGCAGGACACAAAAAAAAAAAAAAAAAAAAAAGGGATGGAATGGGAAGCTGAGATAATCCCTGAGTTTTCGTTTATCCTCTTTAAATTCTAATGGAAAAAAGAAATCCGTTAGCATGTATCAAATTTTAAAATTGAAATGTAGTTAGATTTGAATGGCTGTATACCACCTGATATAGGAGAATGTAGGAATAAGATGTACTGGAAAATCCCCTTGATAATTTTAATATTTCTTCTTCTAGAAACAAAAATGGTATATTGCTAGCATTAGTTTAGGAATGGAATGGAATAGAGCTTTTGAAGTGAATCACATGAATTTGTGATCTCGCAATACCTGCCTCTGATATTTGCTGTCTTCATCTACAATCTTCCTTTGAATGGAGATTTCCCAAAAAGGGTAATTTGTCTGTAGGACTAGGCATGTGTTTATGACTTCCTTGCTAGAGTACACATTCACTTGATTCATAGTGAATGGATCCATATTTAAACAGAGATTTAAATGGATTATTGATTTATATACAATAATCAAGTGACTGGATTATAGTTCTAAAACTCATTAAAGATCAGCCATCCAGGGAAAATCTGCATTATCTTCTATGGCCTTATACAGAATATTTGTAGTAACAGTGCTGAAGGATGAGTCTGTATTGATTTGGTGTTCTTTGCTCTAATAGCATTCAGACTTGGTTGCATTTCTTTCCCAAATAACTTTTTCAGTATGCAGTCTCCTAGTTCAATCATCTGTTTTGTATTTGCATGTAAAATCTTGTTTATAGGATCTGCAGATTACTGTGTCTAATACTGAGCATCATTGTTCCATAAATATGTTTTATTTTTATTATATAAACCATTGCAGATATATATTTCATTTCAACATTTACTTTATATTTTTCCCCTATTTTTCTCCACTTGTAAGGTTTTATTTGCCAGTTTTATAGAAGCTGAGGTCACAGAATCACAGAATGGTTAAGGTTGGAAGGGACCTCTAGAGATCATCTAGTCCAACTCCCCTGCTCAAGCAGAGACCCCCAGAGCGTGTGGCACAGGTCATTCTTATGCAGAGTTAAAGTTCTGTTTTAGTTTTTTTGAGACTTAGTATTCACAACTATTTTTGTCCTGTGCATCTGGGTGATATAATCAGCTTGCTGACTGAAGCTGTGTGAACTTGTGAATTGATGCAGCTTGGCAGAAAAACTGAGCTACATTACATAGAAGCTGTTGTACATCTTCAGATGAAAACTGCAAATTTTTGAGAGATTTAGCAATAGCCAAATATGAAAATGTCCTGTGAAACTCAGGACATGAATGTAGGCTTGGCTTTCATACTTGAGCTTTGTAGGTTGTGTCTTTCATGAGCTTGATGATAGTCTCAAAGATGCACGTTTTAGCAGAGACATAGATTTTAATCTCATTTCAATGAGATTTCATTTTGCTTTCTAATGCTGTGGAGCCCATAAAGACCCTAAAGAAAAAGAATACAAAACATTGCTGAAGCATGTTGAAGTTGCTACTCTACAGTTTTGGATGAACTTGAACTAAATTGCCTAAACTACTTTTGACCTTCATCTGGTCTTTATAGGAAGGTAAACTCACTTTTGCGTGTGCCAGCTTCTCTTGATGTGACTTGTACCTTTGGCTCTCTGAATTGTTTTTCCCACTCATCTGCAAAAATTAGCTAAGACATGATTGATATATTTATTGAGAAACTGCAGTGCAGAGTGCATGTTGTAAGTAAAATAAAACTACTATACTGACAAATTTAAGCTTGTGAATTTAGTGCACCTCCTTTTCTCTGGTAATAAGATATTACCAGACAAATATTTGCATGTGTCTCCAGAGCATTCGTGGTTTTATACAATCTTTTTGATAGAATAATTATTAGTCATAATTCTACCTCATGAGGATATCTGTAGTGTGAAAAGGTCTTTATAGAAAACTTGAGGAAAAAATATTTTTATATGGTTTTGATTAATTCCTCTGTCAGCTACTTGCATTCTAGGAAACAATATTGCACTGTGATGGTTGGATCCCATCCCTTATATTTTAAGTTGATTAATGGAACAGAAAAGCTGAAAAGGAATAATCTGATGGTTGAAGTGTTATCTATTCTAAGGAGTTGGTTTTTTTGTGTATGTGTGTGAGAAAGTGATCCTTACCATCTCTCATTGAATTGCAGTAGCCTAAGACATTTTTGTTATTAAGTAGTTATTCATTCTCTAATGTTGTGTGCTGCCTTATGTATTTTACCTGAGAATAGCATGTTCTTCTTTAGCCTGAATCCATACAGCTATGATGAGAACTGTCTCAGCAGTAGTGAAGACCACATCCCACTGGCTGCCTTGCCTTTGCTGGCTATTTCATCCCCACACTACCAGGATGCAGTTGCCTTGGTGATTAGCAGAGCCAACCAAGTTTATAACGAATTTCTCAAATCTGCAGATGGGGCTGGTTTTAATGGTCAGGTAGGACTCTGTTCTGCTACAATGAAGTATATTCCTTAGGGCAAAGCTGTTTTTTTGTTAGACTGTTTCTGATTTTTGTTCCAAAGGTTTGGGATCATAGGCAGTGCTGCAAACATGATGAAGAAATGTTGACATGGGATTACTTATATAAAATGCCTCCTCAGTGCCCAGCATGAATGAGACACTTTCGAAATCCTGTCAGAATCTAATGTGGGCTCAATTGATAGGGGATGGTACTCCTTCTCCCACTAGAACTTTATCTCTAATTTCTTATTAAATTATTGCTGTGATTCCTGGTAATGTATAGGAACCTTAGTTGTGCAACATTGACTTTGAGAATAGGAGAGAGAAGAATTGCTAGAACTTGTGGAACAGAGATTTTTATCAAGGAGAGAGATGATAGCAGCTATTTCTCCTTCAGGGGCAGGGTGAAAGGGATGGAATGAACATCCTCTGAAATGGGAGAGAGATTCTCTTGTGTACACACACACACACACACAGAAACATTCATATATATGTGTGTGTGTGTGTATATATATATTTAAAGCACTTACTGTATTCCACAAAAAAAAAATGCTCTTATTTCTTTAGGTGTGTCTCATTGGTGACTGCATAGGAGGAATTTTGGGTTTTGATGCCATCTGCTGCAATGCTAACATGGCTGATGAGAGTCAGAACAGCAGCAGGAGAGGAAGCATCAGCAGCATTCAGGTAAAGAGAGAGATAAAACTGAGACCTTAAAGATTAGTTTGAAAAGTCAGCACTCTGCCTTAGACCATCAGGAAAATAAGTTGAAAACGAACTAGTTAGTCATATTGAATTGTTTGCATCAGCCTTCTTGCTCTGACAACTTCAAGAGTTCCCATTGAAAAGTAACTTGAGCAGAGGTACTGATATATTTGTTATTTGTTCAAAGAGAGCCTTAAAATGTCCTTAAGATTTTGATGAAGTTCTGAAACTTGATAGCACTGATATGATTCTCAGAAACCACAAAGTGGATTTTATGGACTTTGAATCAATCTCTGAAGGTATACTTTCAGCGTTGTATATCTGGGTGTCTTCACATCCTACCTCCATTTTTTGTGCTACCCTGAACATGCTTATATATGCTAATAAATTTACTCATAGAAAACAGTTGACAAGCTGGAGTTTTAAACAAAGATTGCAGAATATTTGTACCATGCAAATTTCATTTTAAAAGCATAAATGTATTTTGTGATGTTGTTTGGGAACAAGCTAGGGAATAGAACTGTCCTCTGAATCTGTGGGGTAAATATCTTTGCCTGTTGAATCAACTTGAATTAATTATGAAACATGAACAGATTAAGAAGTGGTGTTCACAAATTTTGCTAAAAATGTAGCTGTACAAAGTCCCTATACAAGAAAGTTAAGAACAGTTCTGTGATAGGAATTTTTCTTTGGAAGGTCTCTGGAGGATAGATACCATTTTTAAAATAAAATACCTGTTAAAACAACAAAGGGTTCCAGTGAAGACTGTAAATAGTGAAATCAAGATATAAAGAGTCAAATCAAGATCTATAAAGTCAATGTTAGACTAAAATGTTAGTTTTATTTTTTTTTTAATTATACGTGGCTTCATCCATCATTTTATCACCCAAAGTAGCAGGCAGACAGCTCCCTCTTCCCAGCAAACACTGCAAGAGCCTTCAATTCCTGGCTAACCCCATAAAATTCCTAGTGCTCTACAGTGACAATTACAAGACCATATTGCAGTTGACATTTTATGCATATAGATAAGATCTCTCTGATTATCTCATCTTTACAGTTTTATAACAGTGATGAAGTCAAAAGGGGTCAAAATGGGGTTGAGATGAAGTCTTTGTGCTGTTCTTCACAAAATCCTGACTGTCTTCCCTGCTCTCTGTCCCGATCAGAGAGGGAAAGGTGGTCTTCATCTCTGTCTGCATGTAGTCTGCAGAGAGGAAGCCTAATGCATTCCACTCTTGCCTGGATAAAGTGAGGTCAGACGTATAAATGCAACTATGTCAATGGTAAACTTAGTATTCTGATCTCTTTCTAAGCCTTTATTTTGTTCTATTTATTCTCTGAAGAATCATACCCTCTTAGCAGAGGACTCTAGCCTGGATGGCAACAAGCGCCTCAGCAAAAGCAATATTGATATCTCGGGAATTGTGGAGGATGAGGAACCAAGCCAGTCGCTACCACGGAAACAAAGTGACTCATCCACTTATGACTGTGATACTATAACTCAACATCATGCTTTCCTTTCTAGGTAACTAGTGTTTGATATCTGAGTAAAGGAAATGAGCTTGCCATTGAAAGCAGCCTGTCAGTGTCAGAGTAATTCAGTTGTTTGTATTATTTGTGGAATATTTCTGGAAGTTTGCTTGAATTCTCTGCCTATTTCTAAAAGAAAGATATAGCTATAGATCATGGGTCTAGTTTAGACCTATTCATCTGCAGTGAGTTTTTTTAATCCTTTTTTTTAATTCAGGTGTGAGAGTTCTGAAAGCAAAACTGCTGAGCAAGTAGTTCCATTTCTTCAGTGCAGCCCATACAAATCAAGATGGGTGAAAGCTTTATAATTTTGATTATTTTTTTTTTCTTTTTCTCTTCAAGACCTCTCTGACTAAAAGCCCCACTCACAGGCTTTTCATTATTTTCCAAAGAATGAGATTATTGTTTTATGTGCTGTCATTACTCTATAAGCTCTTCCATCTATTATTAAAGATGCATAAAGATTCAGCTTAAATGGCCATGTAAGTGGTGGGTGAGAGAGTTAATTAGCTTTTCTGAATCCTTAGAAACACAGATATGATGCAAAGTTTACCATTACCTTTTGTTTTATTGTTTCTGCAACTTAGCTATTTGACTGCTTTTTACTTATTTGAACTCTTTCTTTTCTTTACATTCTCATTTCTTTATTTCATTGGGAGTGATGCAAAGGGAGAAAAGTTTTGGGGTTCCAACTTTCAGTTCTGCAACAGCTCCACAGACTTACCATTGTGCTGTAATTCAGTCTGAGTGTTTTGTTAGTGGCATTTTAAGGTAAATTTATTTTCTTGCTTTGCTGCATTCTGTATATGCATTACTTTGGTTTTGTTTTCTTGTGGTGTGTTTTTTTTGTTTGTTTGTTTGTTTGTTCCCCATGCCATGGATTATTTTTTTTTCCCTGAATAACAGCATGTGCTGAAGTGTGAAGCGTTTTCTCTCTCTCTTAATCCCCCGCCCCCCCTCGCCCCCCCTCGGTCTGTCACTCTGTATGAACAGTTCTGTGTAATGTCTAAAGCATAGAAAGCACAGTCCTGGCTTGTGTAGAGCACTTCATGCTTGAGCTACAGTACCATAATTAATAGATGAAACAGTCGTCTTATGAGTATTATGTTTTCATTTTCTGTGAACTTAAATCGAAAGCTTTATACATAGCTTTGCTTAAGCGACCAGATAAAAATGTGAATGGAAAGTAATGCCTTTTAGCCACAGCCTAAATTTTCGTGGGTTAAGTTATTGAGGAATAGCTGATACATAGACTGAAGAAGGCAGAAAAATTGCTTGGTAAGTTAGAGGAAAAAAAAATCAAAGCAAAGTTATTTCCTGTATCACACAGTATATAGAGGAAATTCAGAGTCTTCCATTTTCTCCATGTAAAATTTATGTGAGATCATTAGGCATCTCTTCTTATGAGCTTACTTAATGTAATTTACAGGTGATGTCTCAGTTTGAGTAGTGAGGTGACACAAGTGTCCTAGTCCAGTCTACTGTTGTTGCATTTCATTGTGTTACGTTATGCTTTTTTGTTGTTTTTGTTCTTTCCCTGAATGCTTTTGGCCTGGAGAGACAACTTAACTTCACTGCCAAATGCATGATCGATTTAATTCCCATATATTTTCATTTCTTTGAAATCAATCTCTGGAAGTGTCTTTAAAAACATGAGATTAAAACTGTATTAAATTATGATACTAGATGGACTCAAAAGATTGAAAGAGAAGTGTCATCTTTTGGCTGATACAGGAGCAATCTACAGAATTTCTGGCTACTGACGTAGATTGTCACATGTTGGGTAACTCGTGGGGGCTTCAGTTACCATTCTATTTAAAGTCAGTGTGGTCAACATCTCTTGCAGTTAGTTCATGCATGTTCTGAAGATATATTCTCCTCTTGTCTTTCTTGTGGCTGAACAGGACTATGCAAATGTACTGAATTTGAATGTAATTTCATCTTTAGCAGGTCTAAATGAGGGACAAGTCTTTTTTCTGTCAGTCAGGAATAAGAGATCTGTGTACCTGTATGTATGGTTTAGGAAAAAAAAAAGAAGTTGTTATAAATTAAAAGATGAAAAGCTATCCACATACATAGCTTATTTTCCCTGTAATAAATAGTTGCGTTGTCATCACCTCTTAGTTCATAGCCTAGGGAGCACATCAGAAAGAGCCTTTTTATGTATCTATATAACATACTTTGGCTGTGATTTTTTTTTTTTAATTGTGGTTTTCTTTATACAAACTGAATAGATTAGAATTTGTAGCGAAACTTTGAGAATATGGTTACATATGTCTGTACAACTGAAGGAGAGGAGAAGTAAACTAATCTTCCAGTTTAACTTTCTTAGGATTATTTTAACTACAAAGAGCTCTTGCATGTTAATAGTAGTAAATTTACTGAAGATAACCGAAATTAGAATGAATGGCTGCTATACTGCCTATCTGTCTACAATTTAATGCATATTGTTTGGATCTAGATGTAGATGCTAGAGTTTCTGTAATAAACTTGTTCTCTGGATGTTCTCTTCGTTAATGTTGAAGCAGTGCATTTTCTTTGCCCAGCATCCACTCAAATGTGTTGAAAGATGATGCAGACTTTCCTCCTGTGAATAGCTCCAGTCTCTCAGAAGTAAACCTGGGCCGATTTGAATTCGAGGTGTCTGATTTCTTCCTCTTTGGATCGCCGCTTGGTTTGGTGCTGGCCCTGAGGAGTACTGTTTTGCCTGGCCTGGATGGTAAGATCTTTCTGGGTTTAGAATACAGGCTGCTTATGTCCTTTGGAAACGGAGAGTCTCACTTAAAGAACATAAATAATGGAGCATGATGAGAGACTGGGAAGTTGGGTTAGTTCCCGTATCTAAAAGACAGAAATGTTAGGTATATGACGTTAAATTTTTTTTTTCAGGATCATCTCTGCTTACCCATGTGCAGTAAGTGTATTTTTTGCTCTACTGTTAGTCATACATTCCATGTTATGCAATATGAAGGTTATACCAATGAACAGTCCTTAAAAAAAAAAAAAAAAAAAAAAAAAAATCACCTCTGTGCTTGCTTCGGCATTGCGTCTTGTTTCTGTCTGAAATTACAGGAAAACTTGGTTCCCAAGCATGTTCATCATCAAGCATTTTTTATTTCTTCCTGGTAACAGCAAATGATCAGTGATATGAAGGAACTTTTTGTTTTTAAATATGTCTGGATTTTTTTCAGTGTTTTTAAAGGCTTGCTTTTATTTTCACAAAAGATTTATTGTGCCTTTTGCTTTCTGTTGAGATGTGGCATAGCATCTCATGAGATATAATACATTCACCTATCAGGTGAATTCTATCAGAAGACTTTGTAACACCTACTGTTGAAAAGAATGAAAAAACTGTTAACATTTTAATTAAGCATGTATTTGGCTAGTGGATGGGAGCAATGCTGCACCAGACTTTTTTTCCAAGAAAAGTGTAATGCATTTTGTCAGGATTATGAGATCAGTGCAAAGAAATATATCCCCTATTAAAAACAAAACAACAAAAAAGCATATTGTATAGCACAGCACATTTGAAAACATTGAGATCCTGCTTGTATTGAATTAATGGGAAGTAGACATAACATCTGTTGAAAATACTTTTAATCTATTTACTCTTATAGTTTATAAAGTGACTTGTAATGTGTGTGGTGGTGTAATATACAAGGTCTGTTAACTGTAATTATCCCCTAATCAATTGATCTGTGAGCTGTGACAAGATTCATAGTGATCCGAGTTCAGTTTTGCTCAGTGGGAAGTGAGTACATTGATTTTCACATAACCTAGCCGTCTTTGTATGATGACTCATTTGAGTGTAAGTTGTATCTTGGTGCTGTCCATTCGATTGAAAGAGCATCATTTTGGCCAAGGAAGTGGGTGATTCTCAAATATCCTTTGTAATCCCTGCCCAGAATTTCCAGAGGCTGCATCTCTCCAGCAAAAATCATCAACATAAGTGATTGTTTTTCTGTTATGTCTAACCTCATTTTTGTTCATTAGCTTCTCTAAGAGACTTCAGAAACTCCAATGCTTTCTGTCACCTACCCGTTCCTGCTTTCATCTAGATTTCAGTCCTCTTTTATGTAACAGGCCTATCAGATGATTTTGTTGGTAAATATTTGATATGCTGAGCACCATGGCTGTAACGTTCAATAATACATCTAGAAGGTCTCAATTTCTGTTGCCTTTCTTGCTTCCATGTGTTTCTGTGCCGTTCTTTATTTCTACCTGAACCTCTGATTATGTAGTCTCTGTAAAATTCTTTTCAGTGAAGAATATTTTTTACAGAGGGAAGAGCAAACAATTTAGTTGCGTTTCTTGTGGCTAGATGTGTGTTTTAGCTTGGAGGTTGCAGAAGACCATGTTAACCATGTTCATCCTTGAAAATGGCAAAGGGGCGACACTGAATCTTTTTCTCTCTTGTTCTCATCCAAGTATGCCAGATCCGCCCAGCCTGCAGCCAGGTGTACAGTTTCTTTCACTCTGCTGATCCTTCTGCCTGTAGACTTGAACCATTGCTGGAGAGAAGATTCCATCTCCTGCCTCCATTCAATGTCCCACGGTACCAGAGATACCCTCTGGGGGATGGAAAATCTCACCAGTTAGGTACAGTACTTGTTTTTATAGCTCCTCTTACCTGCTGTTCTCTTGAGCTTTCTCTGTCCTTACACAGTTCAAGAGGATGTGATACAAAATACACTAACCTGCTAAAAACAGGTTGGATTGTCTGGGACAGAATGGCATATCATGCCTAATAGTATGATAATGCTTAATAATATATACATTACTTTATATAATAAATAATATGCTTAATGCTAATGAATGCTTAGTAGGGAAAAATTGAAACAGACTGGTTGGCAGGGACAAAAGAGGATGGAAGAGAGAAGGAATGAGATGGCAGAAGAAATTGTGCTGTTTTGACTTTGTGAGAAGGCTCATGTAGAAAAAAGGTCACATAAGTGTGAAGCTGACTTGTAACATTACACAAGAACTGAATTTATCAGTGTGCATGTGTACATACATGTACGTTAGATTTATTTTTTTCTACAGATTTGGAAATGAATTTGGGCCTCAGCAGGATATTTCAAAAGCCATATTGGGATTCAGAGCTCAAGGCTGGAGGCTAATATGGTAAAATGGCAGTGTTTTTGTTTGTTGAAGTTGGAGATAAATATATATCATTGTGAACTTCTTCCTTGTAGTAAGATGCATGTATATGCACATGCACACTAATGTGTGCACACACACTTGTGTGTACACATTCATTTAATTTGCTTAAAAGTGTATATGGAATGCAAAACAGATGGAATCTGATTAAATCAATATTTGAAAAGCAATGGTTAATCCAGAGTTACACTGCTGTCCTTCATTAGAGATTTATTTTCATTTTGACAGCTCAAGAGTCCTTATTTTCACTGTTAGTAGAAATCACATGTCCATCATATGGTAGGACAAAGCTTTTGACGGGCTCTGTAATCAGATTACAACCTATTTCCAGCCTGGAGCATAACTGCACAAATTCAATAACAGACTGGGAACAGATTCCTATATCCAGAGGACACAGAATGACTTTCATTCAGCCTCTCAACGTCTTAAAAATTGTTGAAGTGTTGATTCATCTGTAGCTCTTTCCCACTTCTAAGCAGTTGGTTTTATTTTGCTGCCTGGTACAGAATACTGAATAAATGATGCTAGAGGAGACCTCTAGAGATAAGTAATAGCTTAACTGCTTCCATTAATAGCTTAATATTAATTAATAGCTTAATATGGTCTTCTCCATCCTAATCGTCTTTTCAGACTTTTCTGTTCATTATTTATCTCTCCATCTGCCCTGATATTCTTCACTCATAATGGAAAGTTGCTATGTAATTGTCTACGAAAGATGCAGCATGTAGCTGCAAGCAGAAGGTTGCTTTCTAAATATACACTTCTTTCATGAATCATATTTCTTTGCTTAACACTTGCTTTTATCTGCAAACGCTATTGTCAGGGTACTGAATAACCTGAAGACCTCTCCTCAGAGGATTGCACTAAGGAATAGCTAAGCTGGGAACAGTCCAAACTGAGCGGTTATGTGCTCTCTTCTCACCCACATATGTGGGGTATCTTTCAATGGAAAAGGCATACCCCGCTTCACAGTTGGACTTGAAGTTAATGTACAGCCTGGTTGCGTACATGGAAATCCCTCTGATTACTTATGCCTGTAATCGGTCGCTGAGATCTCTAAGGCCACCTTAATCTCGTATGCCGTCTTAAAAAAAAAAAAAAAAAAAAAAAAAAAAATTGCAGTAATATGATATTTCCTTCTCACTTCTCTCCAAAGTGAAAACATGGCACTGATGAATTTTATCAGCCTTGTTGCGATTGAACAAACCCTTCAGGTAGAGTGCTTCTTGTAGCAGAGAACTCCCCAAGTGATTTGGGAGTGAAGGGTGCTCTTTTTGAGCTCATCTAAGACTAGGTCAGAAGATTCTTTTCCATAGCATATAAATCTGGAAACACTGTTGGATATATTGTAAAACAAAATTCCTGAACTGTAGTGATTACTGAGTGTTCTATGAAATACCTCCATATTAAAACTCTGTGCCGAGTTAACTCTTGACTGTCTTTCTCTCTGAAGTTGGGTAGGTTTCAAGTGGGCTTGAAATCTTCCAATTTAAATGCAAGTGCTTTGAGAACATTTTTGAATTACAGAGTTTTTGTTCACAAAGGATAGATTATATTAACTATGTGTATTTTTCTCTCTTTGATACCTGGACTTGTAAAATTAATTCTTAAAATAAGAGCTCCTTGTGGTGTCTCACTCAGATGAGATATTCAGGCATGTGTCAGAGTTCTTCCAGCCATATCAACTTTTGGGAAGGGAGTAGATTGTGGAGGTGGGAAGCTGTGCTAGCATTCTTTCTCGCTTAACAATGTTAAATTTTACCGATTATGATAATCTATAGATGTTTCTGCTTATTACTCTTTTAAAGGAATGGTGTCCTTTAAAGCCGCAATCTTTCTTTATAAAGTGTTGGTAACTCCCATTATGCTCTTCTCTATGCATCAATGAGGTATTCATTGCAGTGAGAGTTTCTGAGACTTGGAAAATTGGAAGGCAATGCGTTCCAGCACTCTTGTATAAGAAATTGTACGGGAGAATTTCTGAGTCAAAAACGTGGAAGATGAGGAAAGCCACGTATGGTCATTCGAGCAGGACTGAAATATACTCAGGATACTCAGGAATAAAACAGTATATTATCAAGGTTTATGTTCTTTCCTTTTTATTCTGTGCATTGAAGTGGGTCGTCTCTTTTTTTCTGTTGGCTATGTTTTAACCTCTCTAGGAGGTTTATCCTCTACAAAAAAACAAAAACAAAAAATCAAATGCTTTTGGTCTGTATGCTCTACATCCGATTTTAGTGGTGTCTGGGCTTCTGCCTTTCCTAGGTACAGCAGGGTGTGTAGGCTGCTTCAAGCAAAATTACAATCAAAGCATTTATTGTGCCCAAAAAAAGGCAGTGAAGCTGGTGGAAGGGGTTGGAGCACAGACCTTCTGGGAGCAGCTGAGGGAGCTGGAGAAGTTTGGAGAAAAGGAGGCTTGGGCAACTTTATCACTCTCTACTGAGCAGTAGTATCTGAAAGGAAGTTGTAGTGAGGCAGGGGTCAATCTCCTCTCCGAAATAACTACTGAAAACAGGGCAAGTTGAGCCAGGGCAGGTTCAGGTTGGATATTAGGAAAAATTTGTACCCTGAAAGAGCAGTGAAGCATTGGAGCAGGCTGCCCAAGGAAGTGGTGGAGTCACCATCCCTAGCCGTACTCAAGAAACAAGCAGCTGAGGCACTTAAGGACATGGTTTAGCAGGTATGGTGTTGAAGGGCTTACGGTTGGACTCGTTGATCTTGAAGCTCTTTTCCAACCATAACGATTTTGTGATTTAAGTGCACATATATTCATACATGTGTTTCAGAATGCTGCAGGAGGGTTTGTTTTGTTTCATTAAACTCATGTTTTATAAATATTCCATAGACAATCTGTCTCTATGGAATAGAGTGGCATGAATAAATAAAATTTCTATTCTATTCAGGAACATGCAAGTCCCCTCTGAATACACTCTCCCAGGACTGCTTAGCTCTTCTAAGGAGTGCCATAAGATAACATCCCAGCATCACTATTCATTTTGGAAGGTCTTAGACAAAATGCTCAGGTATCATTAAGTTTGATGGTGGTAGGGTATGCTTTCTGTGTTTAGTCACAGTGTGCCATGCTGTCCTTCTGCCCCGAAGGTGTTTATCCATAGACATCCATGATTGAATCTTACTCAGGAAACTTACTCAGGAGAATGTCCATTAGTTTCTAAAGAGAGGAGATAGGAAAATATTCTTTTGTGTGCTTTGTTTTGTTTTTCCGCTTCTCTTATCTGCAGGTGATGCTTTACACAGTCATAGTGCTCTATTCCTTGAGAACAGCTCTTTGAACATGCCTTTTCTTCAAGAGACTTCTGAGTTTCCAAATGTACCCAGTCAACTGCAGGGAAAATCAAGGAGATCAAGCTTGGTCAGCACAAACAGTGAAACCTCGGGGTCAACAGAGAGTTTGCCGTCTACGTACCTCACCAACAGTGAGTGAGGCTTGGTTCTTGTGCTGTCTGATGCAGCCCTCTGCCTTCAACTCTTCTGTCCACAACCGTTCTGGAAAAAATTTATTTTGAAGAGGAAAACTGCTTGCTTGGCTATCTGGGGAGAATAACAACAGTGTAAATTGCTGTGATTTTAAATAACACCATTTAACTTCTATTTATAATTAAGTGGATAAAGTAAGGGAAGCAAAGTCACAGTTTTATGTTAAACTGTATTTGTAAACAGTTACTGAAGATCTCTTATTAACTGGCATTTAGAAATGCGTTTCTGGTGTGAAGAACTGTAGACAGATAAAAATTGTTACTTATTGTTTATTGTCTTGTTATGAATTGTCAGCCTTACATCAATATTGGCATAATTATTGGGGAGCATTACAATTTATGCTCTAAAACATCATAATAACATTTATTCTTAGTAGGCAAGAAAATAATTGGAATCGTTTTGCACTGATCTCTGTTTCATACTTGAATCCAGTGGGACTGGGTAGACTGCAGACATTTAAGAGATGATTCAAAAGGATTGTTTTCACTGTCTGTGTTTGTTTGATACTTTTAATAGAACCTAAATATGATGCTCATTTCCCCTCCCCCTCCTTTTTTTAAAATTTTATTTATTTATTTATTTTTAGTTACTGCCAAGTGGTGGGGAACAAAGCGAATAGATTATGCCTTGTACTGTCCAGATGTACTGACTGCGTTTCCAACTGTGGCCCTGCCACATCTCTTCCATGCCAGCTACTGGGAATCAACAGATGTTGTGGCATTCATTTTGAGACAGGTCATTGATCTCTTTTTCTCTGCAGCAAATAACAACTGTGTTTGAGCACATCTTCCAAGAGTAATATGTTTTAATCTTTAGTTAAATTAAATGACTGCCTGTGGTTGCATCACAGGTTGCATTACATAAACCTTAATGTAGAAATGACAAATGTGGATCTACTGGAGAGGCAAAAGGAAGAACAGGCCTCCATTATCACTACTAGTATAGTATACTCACTATTGATTTCTATGACTGGGAATAATGCATCGTCATGCACACCTTGCCTCCTTGTAAACCCCTAATTAGGATGGTCTGTAATGTGTGCTTGTTTCTTATTGCCTGTTGAAGGAATAGAGTATTTCCCATTTTGCTTTATTATGTATCTCTACTCAATATAAAACAGTTTGCTAAGATCTAACAGCAGTTCTGAAATATTGCTCCCAAGAGAAAATTAAGTCAAGAGGAATCAATATAGCTGCATATAGGTGTCCTATTTTGGATGGTATGAAGCTCTCATATCTGCCTCAGGGATGAAGATACTGAGATAATATTTGAACAAGGTCTCACACAAGGAATTTATAGACAACGCATTGTATGGACAATGCAAATACATAAATTATCTTCTGTAGACATGTAGTAGGCAAATTTTATCTGTACATAGTAGACGTGCAGTAGCATCTTGTATTGGACTTGTTGATTATGCTGAGATGAGAGATGCCTGTCTGTACTCCCTGCTACCTTTAGGTGCACTTTGGCCTTTAAATACCATCCTTCAGTCCTGTTAGAAGTGAGTGAGTTTGATGTCTAAAGTGTAGGCCTTCACGCTGTCCTGAGTCGAGGCCTCAGAGTGGCTTGTGAGTTGGATTTGGAAAGATAAATACAGTAGACTTTCCCTTTCCCTTCAACACAATTAACCCTTGTATTCCAGCATTACACATACTTTAAGTTCTCTAAGCCACTGTAATCGGTGCAGGAAATAAGAAAAATAAGGAGACCAAAACAGAAATGTATGAGAAAAGACTTGCTGAGTATTCTCTCCTGTATATATGCCAGCCTATTTGAAGACACTGTGTGCCTCGTCTCTTCAGAGTTGACTTCTGAGGATTTCTGATTATGGATTTTTGCCTGCTGTTCCAGTATTTAGCTGCTTTCAGTGGCTTGGAATAATGCAATAATAGTATCTCACAGATTCACAGAATATTCAAGGTTGGAAGGGACCTCTAGAGATCATCTAGTCCAACCTTCCTGCTCAAGCAGGCACACCTACATCATGTGGCACAGGGTGGCATCCAGGCAGGTTTTGAAGACCTCCAGAGTAGGAGACTCCACAACCTCCCTGGGCAGCCTGTTCCACTGCTCTGTCACCCTAACAGTAAAGAAGTTGCTCCTCACCTGGAGACGGAACTTCTTATGCTTCAGTTTGTGGCCATTACCCCTCGTCCTATCACTGGCCACCAGTGAGAACAGCTTGTCCCCTTCCTCCCTGCATTCTCCCTTCCTGAACTTATACATATTAATCATATCCCCTCTGAGCCTTCTCTTCTCCAGAGAAAACAGGCCCAGCTCACTCAGCCTCTCTTCATACGAGAGATGTTCCATTCCCTTAATCATCCTGGTTGCCCTTCTCTGGACCCTCTCCAGAAGCTCCACGTCCCTCCTATACTGGGGTGCCCAGAACTGAACACAGTACTCCAGGTGTGGCCTCACCAGAGCTGAGTAGTGAGTAATTTTTGTGGATGAGAAATCTCATGTGGTGTGAAAATAGCTTAGTGGCATTTGAGTGAAGCCTTCTATAGAATAAGTGCAGAAGCAAAATTGGCTCCCCAGAAGGCAATCACATGCAGTTTAATTTTGATTAGCCAAAGGATCAGTGTATTTTTATATCCAGTGAATAATGAAACAGCTCCTTCTTGACAAATGGCAGAAAAAAAAAATAGTGCAGTGGCTTTTGTTCATTAAATGAATTTAAAAAATGTCAGTGTGCCTGCCTCTCCCAAAGCACCTTTCATCTGGTGTCTAATGTTTGCTCCCTCTATCTCCTACTCCCAGTGCTGGTGTCAATGGTGCTACTTGCCCAGAGACTCAGCTGGTAGTTTCTGGGAATGGAAGCTCAGTGGCTGAATTTCCTCCAGCCCAAAACTGCTGCTGAGGGAGAAGAGAGCTCCCAGTACTGAATGGACAGTGGTGTTTGGTAGTTTTAAGAAAGGACTGGAATCATGTTGTGCAGCTGTACTCAGCCTCTGAGAATGTGCAGCAGCAGATTTGTCTTGTAACCAGACTGCTTATAGAGATTTTGATTGCTACTTTTAATTGATGAAATACTAAGGCTCCTTCAGACTTTGACTGTCCTTTCAAAGCACCCTTTAGTATAAATGATTCCAATCTAAATGTGTCATTAAGCAATTACTTCTTTTCCACTGGAGAATTTTAGAAGAAATTTTTAATAAACTGTGTTTATAACTAGGATCACCATCACTGCAATGTGAAAATTGCTGAAGACTTTGTGAACCAAAATAATCTCCAGAACAAGAATCTTTTGTTGCTTGTCCAAAAAAAGCATCATTTAACACTGGGGTAGTAATGCACTTCCCAATTCTTTACAAAGTGCAGGACTCCCCAGTTTGTGTACAGTTTATTAGAACATCGATATCATTTCAGGTGATGAGGTATGAAAATGTTAATTTCAAGGAAAACGACAGCCTGGATCCAGCAACACTAAGCCCATCCAATCCACGAGAAAAATGGCTACGCAGAAGGACGCATGTCAAGTTGAGAGTAGGTACAAATCTGAATACCCATGACAGTTATAGAACCTGGGTTTTGCAGGAACTTAAATGGAGACCAGTGTGTGAATTTTTCATAACTGAAGATATCTTAATAGCTGAAACCTGCTAAACACAATCTAGAGGTAGATTCTCTATAGTTAAGAGAATTCTCTCTAGTTAGAGAATAAGAACAATTTACTCCTGGTTATTGTGACATGTTGGGAGAATATGTTTTTCTTTCTCTAAGTAGGTTCAGGAGGTGCTCTTATTTTCTTATGTGTTACATGAGTTCATAACCAGAAAAAATATATATTCGTTTAATTCCGCAAGTGCCATGTTGGCTAGAAATACCAAAGTCAGCCTCTTACGACTTCTAGGGGTTTGAGTAATTAAAAAAAAAAAAAAAAAAGACTTAAATCGTAAGAAAATTTCTATTGGAGACTAGCTGAAATTTTGACTTTTTTCTTAATAAAAGTAATCATGCAATTTTTAGATACATTTTTAACAAGGATTAAACACCACTGTATATGTTGTTATGAGTACATTTTTCTCGAGGGCATAATTGCAAGTAAATATTAAACATGATCATCTGCAAAAGCTTGAGTCCAGTCTATGCCAAAATTTATATTCAGTTTGAAAGAGTGTGAACTTGGAGGTACTCCTGCAGTCGTGTCATTAGCTAAAATTGGGGGAAGATTGTTTGCTTTTTAGTGTGAAAAAATACGGTTATTAAAAATATGCAAAAGTACCTCATGAATGTGTCTTACATAAAATCATGTGAATCTTTAGCAACACTTGTAGTAAAAATAACTGGTAGTAAAAATACCAGTTATTTCTTAGAAGAGCTCTCTTATTCAGTCATACTGCGCATTTCACTGGTTTCTGTGTTCAGGAACTCACCATTACTGGGATTGTGGGTCCAGCTGAAATGGGAAGCCAGTTTTTCTAGATGCTTTACAGATGCACTGAGATGTAGTTCAAACAAGCTGTCCAGGATTCTGTGTTTGAGTAACCATTCATAGTAAAAATGTAAAGATAGTAGCCACTCTACAAAGGAAAAACTGCCCTTCTGCTCTTTCGTTTCAGAATGTGACTGCCAATCACCGAGCTAATGATATCATTGCAGCAGAAGATGGTCCACAAGTACTGGTTGGGCGCTTTATGTATGGGCCTCTGGATATGGTAGCTTTAACGGGTGAAAAGGTAAAGTTAAAGTCTTCCAAAGCATCCTTCAGTCAAAACAGTTGATGAGAGTACCACACATAAAACATAAGAGAAAGCATTACAAGGCAGAGAAGTATGTCACCTACACCATCACTTCAGCAAAAATATGTGGTAATTGGGCTCTCCTGACTGAGTCCTGAACATTGAAAAATTTTGGATGAAAACATGCAATATATACATATAAGACAAAATCATCTTTTTCCTACTTTTGAGTCTTGGCAGAGCTCCATGCCCTTTGGATACCTGTAGTGCTGTGTGCTTTAAATGTTCACATCTGTAATAAACTCTCATATTCTGAATTAGGAAGCACTTTTTAATGATTAGAGTGCTGTATGATGACTTTACTGAATTGTAAGATTTCTTGAAGTTTCCTGTAGGTTTTTAGTACAAGCCACAGTTAGAACACTAATAGTCATCCAGTCTCTGCAAGGCCCTGTGAATACAGTATGTGCTACTTACTGTTAGACCTGAAGACTGCTTTGTCATTTTTACAGGTTGATATCTTCATAATGACTGAGCCATCTTCAGGTAGATGGGTGTATTTTGACACAGAGATATCCAACAGCAGTGGTCGAATATCATACAACATACCCGAACAGAGGAGGCTCAGAGTTGGCGTGTATCCTATCAAAATGGTGGTCAGGTAATAGTTCTAAGCTGGAACTACAGCTGTGGCAGGCTGTTGTGATCAGGAGAACATCAATGTTTGTAAAATGGGGAAGGGATTTGGATTTGGTTTGGATTATGCAACAGACTTGGGCAAATGACTTTAATTTCTTGTTGGTTCAGTTTCCCAGTAATGACTTGATGCATCTTTTCTTCGTCCTTTCACTGCATTGTCAGTTTAGATTTTAAGTAAGAGCTGTGTTTTTACATGCCACTCAGTGGGCCTCATTTCTACTGCAACACAAATCCTTAGTGCAATTCAATTTAGTGATGCTTGACCTTGCATGACAGGGATTGAATGATCATAATCAGCCCTTTGACTGCAAGAGTATATGATTTGGGTTAAGTCAGAGCTTGCTCAACGGGGAAAGACTGCTGCAAGCAGTACGGCTCTGTATTCTTCAGACTGGTGACAAACCCTCTTCCTGAAATGAATAGTCAAGGTATTACCCTGTTCTCAGCAAGTGTTCATCTATTGACATCAGACTGGTCGAAGGAACCACTTTAATTCTTGAGATGGAGTTTGCATTGCTATTGTTTTTCAGTGTATTTGTACAAACGTTACTGTTCAGTGAAGTCAACTTCCAAAGTTACTGTTGGAAAGCTTTATCCTAAAAGAAACTGAAAGTTTTATTCAGCTTGTGTATGGCTGAAATGAGAAGCTCTAGCTGAGATATTTTTGAAGCTCTTGATCCAGACAGACCTCATTTTAGGTTTTAACCAGAATATGCAGAAAATACGTTCTAATAATTCTTTAGAAAAAAAAAAAAGTACTTATTGCTTTGACTCTCCAGAGGGGACCAGAGCAGTGCCACAAGTTATATGACCGTGCTTCCCCGAGGAATGGAATGTGTGGTCTTCAGCATTGATGGTTCATTTGCAGCAAGTGTGTCGATTATGGGAAGTGACCCCAAAGTCCGAGCTGGGGCAGTTGATGTTGTTAGGTAAGTGTTAGGTTTGCATGGTCCTTTCTATAAATCTCTGTCAATAGGGAAAATTGACAGATTTATCTGTCAATAGGGAAAAAAGAGGAGGCTGGGCTTCTTTACATATGCATTTCTCTGCTTTGACATTAGATATGATTGATTTTCAGAGGGATCTTCACTGTCTTTTGCTTTCCTCCCTCTTTCTCAAAATGCAGAAATTATTACCTAACTCCTCAGTAGAAGCAAAGACTTGGCCATGCTGCTTTCCACTTGTTGAAGGATTATGCCACACTTCTAACTGAATCTGTGTTGAGCAAAAAGAAACACTGACCTGACCTGTGATTGTTATTTCTCTTTGTTTACATACACAACTTATCTGCTACTTCTGACAGGCATTGGCAAGATCTGGGATATCTAATCATCTATATCACTGGCCGTCCAGATATGCAAAAGCAACGTGTGGTTTCCTGGTTGTCTCAACACAACTTTCCACAAGGAATGATCTTCTTCTCAGATGGACTTGTTCATGACCCACTGCGACAAAAGACTATTTTTCTCCGGAATCTCATGCAAGAGGTACTAGAAGCATTTATATCTTTAAAACTTTTTCCAGATAGCATCATTCAGCAAAGTTAGAGATCTCCCTTCTGTTTGAGCAGTGAATCTCACTGGCTATTGCAAAGTACTTTTGTCATTCCTCATTCCTTTCCTCACTTTTAAGGAGTAAAGAAGGCTAATAAAACATCCAGAGAAGACTTCCTGGCTTATGTTATTACAAAAGAGTAAATGAACTGTCTCTTCTTTCCTGTCTGTGTGTATGTATGTGGTTGCTCTGGCCTGCAGGCAGTCAGGTTTCTGTGGTTTACCGAATTACATTGCTAGCAGTGAGCTTGTCTGCTGCTTCACTGCAAACACATATTGTCCTGTTACATATTTGGTGATCAATACTCACCATTCACAGTGGAAGTAATATTTGCCTTGTTTCAGTGCCACATCAAAATCTGTGCTGCATATGGTTCCATGAAAGATATTTCTGTATACAGTGTTTTGGCTCTGTCACCATCTCAAATCTACATTGTTGGAAGGTCAACAAAGAAATACCAGACACAGTGTCAAGTAAGTACTTTTGTTACAAAATAAAGAAATTGTATGAGGAGCAAACAAATGTACATCCTCATACCTGCATGTGTGTATATGTGCAAATGTTTGCATACAAAGGATTAAGAGAAGAAATAGTGTTCTGGGGTGGGGGTGGGCAGCAAGTCTATTAGCAAGTTTAACCAGCTAGATGTCTCATTAATATGGAATCTGTCTTTGGGTTACTGAATATTACAATTAACTGATGGATTTCTCTCTTTTTTCCCCATTTCAGTTTCTCAGTGAAGGTTATGCAGCCCATTTGGCTTCACTGGAGTTCAGTCTCCATTCACGATCCAAAAAAAACAACTCTCGGATGATCTTGAGAAAAGGCAGCTTTGGCCTCCATTCCCAACCTGAGTTTTTGCGCAAGAGAAACCATCTCCGTAGGACTATGTCTGTGCAGCAACCTGACCCACCTTCTTCCAACCCCAAACCAGAGCGTGCCCAGAGCCAGCCCGAGTCAGACAAAGATCATGATAGGCATTTGCCCTCCATTGCGTGGGTCCGAGGTGGAGTTCACAAATTTGAATCTGTCCCCTAGAAAGATGGAAGATACAGATCTTGGGTGCACTCCATTAGGCTTGTAGGCATGGCATGCCTCAAAGGTAATATTCAGGCAATTTCAAAGTAGGAGGCTGGGAGAGATCTGTACCTCAGTCTTCCCTTCTCTGGAATCTGCATTATTACACCAACCTGGGAACTTCCACTTTTTTGCTTTTGACATGTTTGTTGGGAAACTTTAAAACAATCTGAAACTGCAATGCTGAAGTACTTGCAATAGTAACAGGAAATGTCTTATGGTATATTTTATAATAAATATAATAAAATGTGCAATAAGAGGAAAAAGGTGTAGTAGGTTGAATTTGCTCGAAGGAAGGACCGTGATACCAGCTAACTAGGATAAATCCTGGAGGTTACAGCAAAAGCTTACACTTTAAAAACTAGTTGTATCTGTTGCTGCTTTGCTTTTGAAAAGACTGTACATTTCCAAGGGAAGCAGTTTTGGGAACCACAATAATGGGTGGTCAGGATTTATATGGCAAAATGCCTTGGGTGCCTTAGACCCAAGATTTTCTTTAAATTTGCAGAATTGGTGAACAGACACCAACAGGAGCACTCATTTGTGAGGTGCTAGGCATCAAGTAAATAGAAGTCTGCTTCTGAAGTAGATTGTAAATGCTTCACATTAGAAATAAATGTCTCTGCAGTCTGAAGCAGTTAGTGTTGCTGTATACCAAGTGATGTGTAAAGTGTACAAGATCCCATTGTTTTGTGGAACTTAGTGACTGTGCAAAATATGTGAACTGCTCCAAGCAAGGAAATGGCTATAATCATAGCAGACTGAGACGTGGATCCGAAGATGGTAAGCTACAGGGAACCTTTTTACTAAGGGATCTCCAAACTTCAGAGTAATTTTTTTTTTCATTATTCTAACTAGAATATTTATACTGGAGGAAAAAAAAAATCATCATAATGATTTTTACTTTCTTATGCTTTATAGCAATTGTTTTGTTAAGGTCAGTCTGTAACATTTAACATATATTATTTCTGTTTCAAAGAAAGAGTATGCCAACATACAGTTGTCAAATAGACATTTTCCTAAATATTTACTTTTTTTCTTAGCTTCATCAATGTAGTTACTAGAAGTAAAATGTTTGAAAATTTCACTCAGTAGGAATATTTCAAAAGTAAATGTTGTACTTAGTTAAATGTAGCTTTTTTGAAATCTTTGTGCAAGTACTTATGCTGAACTAAATTCAACAAGAGAACTTTCATTATTAAGCTGAACTTAAGCTTGCTTCCAAGCATGCAGTGAAGTTATAAGTGCACAGAAAAAAACTTTTATTTAAATATTAAAATCTGAAAAATCTGATTGCAAACTTTTTCAGGCTTAACAGTCTAGAGGGGATTTTTTTTTTTTTCAAGTTTTCCTAGTCTGTAACTGGAACAGAAACAGTCAACAGTCTCTCTGTTGGTCAGTTTTAAATGTTAGCACGTAAAACAAATCAGGAACTATATGGAAAATCATGGTGATGCTGCAGAAGTAAACCTAATTCTGTGTTCCCTTTTTACCCAAAAGTGTGTGTGCTTTCTTGAGGAGATAGTAATGTGGCTTCTTTTTTAAAATGCAGCCAATTAGTTTATAAATTGAGATCTCTGGTTTATTTAAACAGTTTATTGTTTGGCAAGATTGCCAAAGTTGCTGCCTCTTTGGAGTCATGCTTAAATTCTACTTTGAACTTACTGAAAGATCTCTGGTACGTCAGCAATTTGGTTTTATAAAAACACTTTCTTCAAAAGGAGAGGTCAACTCCTCTGAACTTTTAAGCTATTAAACTCTGAGTTTAATAGCTCTAATTAGGAGCAGGTAGCTACATTGTGTGGGGTTGGATTTCTTTATGCTTTTGTACCAAATCAGCTATCTCAAAAAACTTGAATTACTCACTGAAGTAATTTTTAGGCTTGCATGTGTCCCCGCCTTCCTCCAGCAGTGTCATACACAGCTCTTTAACCCCAAACTTGAAGCAGATTTTCTGTGTTCTATCTTGACCCGCTCTTTATTCTTGTCCTCTGCAGTAAGGAGAAGAATACACAAGTTGTATCAGACAGCAGATTCCATCTCCTCTGTCCAGCTCACTGCTAGTATAGCTGCCAGAGCTAGTAAGATGTCAATGCAGTAAAGGCATGTCTGATATTTGTTCTGTGATCCTTCCTACCAAGTGTACCTTGTTTTGGCAGCTGCCAACAAAATGCCCAGGGTACATGCTTTGAAAAGATCAGATACTGTAAGTAGTTCAGTCTCTGGTAAGTATATAATTTATATATTCCAAACAATGTAAATGCTTGTTGGCCTTGGCACAGCCTTCTTTTTCTGATGCCACAATAACTGGTAGTTGTTCTGATATTGTCATAGCAAGCCCACTCAAATGTTATTTCCAGCATGTGCTCACTTGTGAGGTTTAAATGGGCAAAGCAATCAAAGGTTTGCAGGGGAGGAACTCACTACCCAGTTTTGAAGTTTTGAAGCAACATAGATTGCAAAGTTTAAAATTATATTTTTTTTAAGCATTGCATATATCATATATCTGCTGTTAGTATTTATTGTGCCTGATGCAAATTTCAAACCTATTGCTGTCTACCTCTGTCAGCCAAGAGACCCCCAAATCAGTTCTTCAGTTTTGAGTTATTGTGGTAGGAAGACCCAAATTTGCCCTTTTCAAAACAAAACATCTCTGTGGAATTCTGTGGCAGGCATTAGAAGAAGTGACGTCTGAACACAAGAAAGGAGAAATCTCCTGGGATTACTAATTTTGCAAGAAAACATGTTATGAATGCTCTGGTTTTATGTATTTCTTTTAGTAGCTCTGTCACCTTTATAGCAGTCATTGTGCTTTCATTTAAGAGTAATATCACTTCAGGAGTGAAAGTAAGTTCCTGGTCTGTGTGCATGCTTTAGAATGGTAAAAATGTATATGACATTGAAGTTAAGCTGAAAATATTTTTCCAACTTCATTTCCTAAAATGCACAGAAGCTTGCATGGCCTTTATATACTTCCAACACTAATTACTGCTCAGGGATAGAATGGTTTGCCAGCTGATCACATGCCTCCAAGTACATATTTTTGCAAACACTGTTACAGGCATCAGTTTGGAGTTTAATGCTTCATGCTAATGAGGAGCTGATGTCTGAAGGATTCACTGCCAGAGGCATTTGTTTTGAAAGTACTAGCAAGTTGCTGCTAAACTGATGAGTTTTGTTAGAAGTGCAAGTACAAAAGAGGTGGTTATGATTTTGACATCTCACATCTAGACTGGCAATGTAACAGCCTAGTTGTGGCAGTGGAAAACGGTATCTCATGCATGTAGAAACACTAGGTTTTGCAGTTATATTCATGCTTGATATTTGCCTGATGAATCACTAATTTTACCATATAGTTTAGTCTCTTGTTACCACTTAAAACATTTTCTTCCTATCAGAACTTCAGTTTTATGCTTTGTCCACACAAAAGTGTATGTAGCAGTTCATAGTCATTCAGTTTGGAAGTGGATGCCTGTTTTTATTCAGTTTTAGTTCAGTTTTCACCAAATAATTACCAATGCTCTTAAACAGGCTTTTTTGCTGTCATGAACTTTATAGGCTGTAAGAGGGTTAAAACATGTGCAGAGGGGAAAGGGACAAAGTAGTCGGGGAATCAGGGATGCTGAAGGAATGCATGCTTAGACCCATCAATAGTTACAGCACCTTTAGTGCTTCCAGACTGATTAATATGATTAATACAAAAAAGCACATAATCTTCTGACCTGTGGAATGGAGGAAGCATTATTGAAACATTAGGGATACTGAATTTGTTACTCCAATGGCTACTGAAGCAGTAGCATAAGTCAATGCACAGGGAAGGCCACACCTAAACATATTTATGTTTGTCACTGGTTGATATAGATCCGATATTTACGTTCACAGTGGGGGGGGCAGGGGAGGGAGGAAGCAGTTATTAATAGCAGTGGTGGACTGTTATCTGTGATATTGTGAAAACAGACCTTCACAACTATGGTATATTTTGTGCTTGTGTGTATAGTTACTGCATCTATAGCCCCTTAGGTAAAGCTTTTTGTTCAGCTTGCACAGCAAATCTATAACTAATGTGCATTTTTTATAATGGCTGTTAGTTCAATTTTGATATCCTGTTAGGAATGTTTGAAATAAAGGTAACTGTAAAAAGACTGCAGAATATTCCACAGATCTGAATAGTAATGTTGATCCAAATTGCTTATTTTGAATAAGAAATGTTTAAAGCAAAATATTTACCTACACTAGTGCTCTTGGTACAGAATCTTGCTTGACCAAAATATCGTTTAGTTTTGTGACATGGTTTATATATATTACTCAGCATAGAATTGTGTCGGGTGTGAAAATAACATGGCATTAATCATCATTCTTGTTTTGGGGGTTCATGAGTCAGCTGCCATTTTGATTAGATGACAATGGAATCTTTAATTTCTTACAGATCACCTCTCCTATTCCTTTAGGACATAAGGAAATTATCTCAAAGCAAAAACATACACCACTGTTTCAGTTCAAATTCCATGTAGCCACTATCAGTAAAATACAAAGGAAAATACATATACAATTTAATCTACTATTAAACTTAGCAGAAAATGACAATTGACTGAAAGCTCCAACATTCTGCAAATTTTTTCTTGTTTGTTTTTCTTAGTAGTTGTCCTACTTCTGTGGTGTAGTCTTTAGGCAAGGGCAGTACTGCCTGTACGTTACGGTCAGTGCTGCTATTCTGCATTCATCAGCCTAAATTTAAGAGAAACATGAATATTTTCCTTCTTTCTGTATTGTTTCTTGTATTAAATTTAAAAGGTTTTCTGCTAAATAATAATAGCTGAAGGCAGTAGATTTTAAAATCTAAAAAATTAAAAGAGCAACTATTTTTCCTGAAAAAAAAAAAAGAAAGAAAAAAAAGAAAAAGCTATTTATTCCCCTGTTGTATTTAAACCTCAGAAAGGTAAGTATGTTCTGGAAATATTAGATTGGTTTATAGTCAGTTTTCACAAGCTTATGGATTTATTAAGGAAGAGAAAGGCATTGTACACTGATTTCACTATTTTCTCTGGTTCCAGCTTGAAGCATGAGGTCTAAATTCAGCATTTATACATTCAAGAAATCATGAGTCTAAATTCAAGATTCTGTGATTTCTAAAATGATTTGTTCATGTGAGACATGCAGGTGAAAAGGGAGCACTTTTCACCCTCATCTGGCGGTTGGTAGAATTCCCTCAACACAGAACTAACTTAACCTCCTCTCACTTTCCCTAAAAACAGTGATTTCTCATAGCTCTGTGTAGTAGATGGAGTAGTTTTCACAAGTAATTTGACTTAATTGCTGTTTAATCATTCATGTGTAACTCCAGGTTCCTATAGAAGATCTGAAGTTCCATCCCCATTTAAAATAGAAGTGGTAACACACTTTACAAGAAAAGAGCTCCATTTTCAGAAATATAAAATAGCCTGGAGAAGGGGGAATCCTGTTCTCTGGGACTGAAATTAGGAATTAATCCCTTTTTCCTACCATATAGTTCAAGGCTAGAGTAAGGGGATGACAATTTATTCTCTGCTTACATTTAATCTCAGTAAGGTACCTTCATAATTGGGTATTAGGGCAAGAAGAGGAGGAGGGGAAATAAAAACTAAATCTGACAGTTCATTTATTAAAGTGGACAGAATTTTAAAAGGTAAGATAGAAGTTTCACTGTAAAATCCTGGGTGAAGGAGATACTGGAATTTAAGATGAAGACATAACTTTAAAAGACTGCTTAAAACTTAAGAGCTTTAAGGATGAAGATTTGGGTGGGTTGAGGGGATGACTTTTGTAGGACTCAGAAGGGCAGTCCTTTCACAGAACTCCAAATCTACTGCATATATTTTTCTATTTGTGGGGAAGGGCAGGGGCAGGCTACTCTGTAACTGAATACCTGTGAGAAAACTTGAACATGTTCTTTCAGTCTATAGTTTTATTAAATGTATACTTTTAAATATTGTTTTGTCATTGAAAAGGTTGTATATGGTGACAAATGTTTATATTTCTTATGGCTGAATCTTAAAAAGATTAAAAATGCACAATAATGATTTAATATGAACTAAGGAGTCAGATTTTTTTTTATAACCACTGTAGATTTCAATGTGAGCTGCTTTTTAAAATCTTATAACAAGTTAGTCGATAAAGTCTTCTTTGCCTTTAAATAAACAGCATATCACAGGCTCTTCTTACCACTGGGGTAGGCAGTTTTAAGCACAGGCATGTTCTTGTGCCTGGTAGAAATGGTAAAAGAGAGTCTGCTTAATGCCTAAGGACTTCCTGAATAAGACTTAGATTTATGTATAGAAGTCAGCCTCTGAATTCCAATATCTCTTTTGAAGGGAAATAGTAGTATTAGACAATACTTAAATAAGCAGACAGCATGCTTGTGAAAGCTTTTGAAAAAGTAGTAGCAGTATATTCAAAAAAACCCAACAAGCTACAGGCTACTGTTCTATATAGGAAAGTGGCTTGGGGTGGGCGGGAAGACATCTGAAACACTAAAAATCAGAGCTGTTTGCAAGCTTCCAGTGCTCATAAATGTCAATATTTTAAGCAGTTTGACAACCAAGAAAATCAGGAGCAAGTTTAAAAATCCATAGTTACACATGAGAACTGTACATGATAGTTTCCTTTCTTTCTATTTAATACCATTAGAATTGTAGCTGGTCGAGTTTCACCAAACAAACATTTAAGGTGCATGTGGTAAGGAAAGATGGTTTCCCCAAATTAATCTTGTGTAAAGAGTCATTTATATAACTGGAATAATCTGACAAGCTTACGCAAAGCCACTGCCATGGAAAACACAACCCTGGTGTTGAGCACTAAAAGCTTGAGAAATCTTTGCTTTAGTTCTAAAGATTTAACTTTGTTAAACTAATATACCAAAAAAACAACAACTCAAACAAATGCTACTTTCTTAAAAGTAATTAGAAGGTAAATACAAATATCAAATGTTTAGCATACTTAAATAATACAACTGTGTTATATTAGCTAATGACATTAATATCACTTATAACTAATTGAAGCAACAGATTTTTGAATATAATTGAAAGACAATTTAAATGAATGCTTAACTCCATTGCCAAGATGCTGTTTAAAATAGCAGCAAGAAATAAAGCAGAGCTGCCCTATCTGGACCAGAAGTAGTTTAAATAGTCTTAATTGGGCTTATTAATAGCAACTCAAGACATGAATTGGGATCCTAACAGTTCCGTCGTTGTGGCTTGAGCAGTTTTACAGAAAGTCCACTGCCTTGCAAGGATGTTTTCATCAGAATTCAAACAACCCTTCTTATCTAGTTTAGCTTTCATAAAGCTGTGGCTTTTGCTTTGTTAGTGTTTAAGAAATTTGTTAGACCTTGAAGGGTTAATAGAACTGTACCTATACTTTGCAAAGGAACATCTAAATAGATTTTGTTTATGTTGATCATTTACAGAGCAGCAGCCCTTGCTCTGGCCATCCCTACTGGTCATAGTATCTAATACTATGAAAATACTTACTGTCTTATGCAAGGCATTCAAGGTGGTCCCTTATTATACCATTAGGGCATAATACATTATAAACTACAAATTTGATTCCCTTGTTCACTTGGAAAGCAAGAGACAGAAAGACCTGAGCTGTCAAGAAGAATTATAAATGTGATAGCTGCATAATAGCACAATCAGTTATGTTCAAAGCAGGATGAACCTTATCAGGTCTTACACAGTTCTCTTTCATATAGGCCCATTAAAATAACACTGCTTATTGCCATTGTCTAAGTACAAACTGCTTGATGGGAGATTCTTTGCTTGCCTTCTGATAGCTTGAGTTTCCCAGACTGATGAACAGACCAGAATTTTATGTCATTAGATAGTTGTAGTTTGGTGTTGCTTGTTGCCTGCAGAAAAGAATGGGAGTGCTATTAGCAGCATGAAGTCCACAACATTGATTTTATCAAGTTGTGACTGGTTGTCACACAAATTGCTGAAAAAAATGGTACATGGGGCAGGAGCAATGCTGGGGAGAAACTGCTTTCAGTGTTAAATGCAGTGCTAAACCCTAACAAGGACATGTTTTAATTGTTTTCCATCCATGGGACAGAATGGCAGTATACAAAGTACTGTAACACTTTAATTAGCAAAAGAGGCATTTCTTCCAATATAGAAGAATTTGTTGCCATGGAAACATTGGAACACAGCATTGAGCTGGCAGCTAGCGATACCTTGGCTCAATTTTTTTCCAAGGAAAAGGTGAAATGAGAAGAGAAATACCAAAATTCATGACAATTGATATCAGAACATAAAATCACGTGAAATAAGCTTACTGGGAGCTGTCCATACATTCTAGCACAAGTAATTAACAGACAACCTACAATCTAGTAAGTGACAGAGCACACTACATGCTGGATCACATCACTCAATGAAAGCAACATACATCACTAAGACATCAAGGAAACACTTGAAATTGCTGCCAGGTAGTAGAAGTGAGGTTGATTCAGTTCAGTAAGAACTAAGTGACCAAAGGCATTAGTTTTCTGTTCTGAGGTAAGAAAAGCTGCTGTTTGTTCAGAAATCCAACTTGTGGTTCATTGTTAACCCATGACCTTTCTCTAATCAACAGCATGGAGGCCAAGTTTGACAACAGCACAATGATCTGCTCTATCAGAGACAGGCAGCACTAGTAAAACAAGGAAAAATCCTATGGTTCCATATGGTAAGACTTTTTTTTTTTTAATAAAAGTGTGCAAGGTAGTATGTCTCTCCTGTTTGCAAACAGCAGGTTTTCTCCATGCAGATAAAATCAAGGTAAGTGAAATACTACATTACCTGGTTGATAGTATCTTCATTATCAATAGGAGAAACTTTCATATTGCTAACAAACAGAAGAACATTAGGAGTGAGATTTAAGTGACCTTTTAACATATATGATCATTAGCTTGATACAGGAATTAACCCATAATCATGTCTAATTATTTAAAAATGGGCCTATTGGTAAAAGTTGTTTTTCTGGGATTATGCAATACACATAGAAGTACTCTAGAAAAATACTTACATTTTTATGCTTTGATTTTGATGCAAGATTAGATGTTTGACTTCAATTAATGAATGCTAATCATCAAAAGTTCTAACAGAAAAAGGGCTTTAAGGAATTGGTGTAGTGTCAAGACCACTGACCTTCAGTTTTTATTGTCCCAATACATCTAACTCTCCGTGACAGAACCCTTGCAAACACACCAGCCTGCTTACCATCCTCATAGTACAAGAGGCTTCTGCATCCTTTAAATTTTTGATTTAATGTTTTCATGGGGTATTCATAGGTATAAAGCTAACTAATAAAACACAAAGTCTCTCTTCTTTTAAATGGGCAAGCACCAATTATAGCTAAGTCTCTAATAACAATAATAAAAAAAGTATTTTTGCCAAGCCTGTACTGGTGTTTTTTAAGACAGTGACAGAGATGTACCTTTCTCACATAGGATGAAAAAGTTCCTCTAGCAGGCACAAATCTGATTTTGACAGCAAGAAACATCAAGTCAAGGGCAGCATTTGACAGATTTTAGTAAATCTAAGTCCAACTGCAAATGTAATCTGTTCAAATCTCTTGGAGAGAAAGACTGTGCTACATTAAAGCTGAGACAGTTCTGCACCTGTTCTTCATCCCAGAGTTACAGAGACCATTATACTGCATTTGAATACACCTGAATTGGAGGTGAAGGATGCTGGATTTGGGAGGACATTTAGCAGTGTTTGCCTCTCCTCTCACAAAGCACCTTCAAACACCTGGGAGAAACACTTCAGTCGGCAAATCCTTGAGGAGACAAGTTCCAACTTGCAGTCAAACTCTCTGCAAACAATAGTCCTTACTAAAGAGCAAACAAGACTCCCTAACTAGGTGACACAATCCAACCCACTATCTTTACCTGTAAAGAACTAGTTATCTCAGGGCTTTATTCAAAAATTGAGACCTCTAGCAACCATATTCTGAATTCTACTTACTAGCTACTGCGCAACTCTCTTTACCACCTAGACAGCTATGTTCAGTTCAAGCCCTGGATTCAGATTCATGAGATTTGGATTCAGATTCTGGTTTTGATGTTTTGATGTTTCTCATGTGAATTCAACCAAGACAAAACATCTGTGTCCTATTAAGTAGTTCCCTAGCTCACAGCTCTTTAGTTTGTGTTAGATCTGAGACAAGGGAAATCTCTCTATACAAATCTTCATACAGGATAAACAGAACTATTCAAGTATCTCTGCAACACAAATAACTCTAACTTTCCCAAAGCTGCTAAGTAGAAGTGAGACACTGTTTCAATAAATTGGTCTGCATGCATCAGCAATGAATTTTGGTATATTCTAGAGTCAGATGGGGGCTAGTCCTGAGAAACATGGTGAGAAAGTGATAAAGACAAAGCTTGCTCTTTTCACAGCACTAAATGAAATTTCACAGTTCAGTTTTATGCAGTACTCTGTCCCTCTCTATATAGAGATATTAGTACTTTTTTGATTATTCTATCAGCAGACCATTTCAGTGGAATAGGATGGCAACCTTCATGTCTTGCCTTTCACCTGGTACACTAACCACATTAGTGAAGGAGAAAAAAAGCCGTAAAGATTACAAAAGCATAACATACGTCTTTCTGTTGACAGAGTGATGAGTAAGGACTCTTCAGTGCTACTGCTCTCCCTGATCTTCGGAGTGGGACAGCATCTTTACCAAGCCAGCAAGAAAAACTCCTCCATTCTCTCAGCCGTGTGACCTTCCTCGGCCCAAACAAGGCTCTCTTGCTGGATCTTGGGGTGCCTTTGGAGCTGGCTGCTGGAGTAACACTGTTGTTATGGCAAGGAGTTTGAGGTGAAGTGCCTTTCTTCTTGAAGGAAGTGGCTGCACAGCTGCTTCTGGCAATGGATTTGTTTGGAAAGGCCGCTAGTGAATGTACTGGATTTTGACAAGACTTCTGTATTTTCTGAAATAGATATTGGTAGACACAGCATGCTAAATGAAGACAACAGCCTAGAATTTGGAAGCAGAAAAACATAAGCAGAATCCCTTGCTCTTGATTTTAAGATCAGGTTTAGCCTACCATGAATGCTTCTTAATCCTGCTGTATCCGTTCAAGTTGGAGTCATTTGCTCCCCTAAGTTTTGATATTTGTCAAAAACTGCTTCAGGCATTGCAAAGAAAGATCCTGCTGCTTTTTTTGCAGGAAATAGCCAGGGTTTCTAACACAATTAGAACGCTTAAAAAAAAAACCCCACACTTCTGCCACCAGAAAAAGTATATTAAAAAGTATATCAAACTTGAATTTGTCTTGCTACCAACTACCAGCTTTTGTCAATTTGATTGGCTATAACAGGAAATATGCTAATGATAAAGAGGAAAAACAAACAAAAATATACACACATACACGCAGAATACCCAATATACACTCAGAAACATAATTTTGTTAGCCATGGTCTTATCTACCCACCCTTCTCCTTCTGTCAAACATGAAGCTATAAGAAAGGGTGGGGTTTGAGGTTTTTTTTTAAGAAAAGGAAGATGTTGTTGGAACTGCTCACACTTTCACCTTCCTCCCTGTTCTGCTAGATCCAAAATTTCCCTTTCTATAGCCTAGCAAAGGCTGCTACTGAAGATTTTACTAGTTGACAAATGTAAAACAACTGTTGCACAGTGCCTAGAATAGGAGCTCTGGCATAAAGCATGCTGCGCATCCAGAAATCTAAGTATAGAAGTCAAAGCGAGAACTAAATTGTACCTACAATCAACTGCAAAGACAAAATACCTGGGACACTGTTCCAAAAGTGTTTTTTGCTGTTTTTCTAATACTCTGGAGAGTTTGATACTTGTCTTTTCCTTCCAGACTTTCCCAAGTTGGAGTCTCATGGAAATTCAGCTGTACTTCTTTTAAAGGTATTCGCTTCCTTAGACACATGCATATAGTATTGAGAGAACTGAGAGGCGCCCTTCTTTTGAATTTGTCAGGCACAGGGCTCTCATTCTCATTGATGTCAGCTAGAAGCTGGTGTTTCCGCCAGCCCATTGTAGTCTTGACGTTTTGGAGTACAGACACCATCTTGGTCCAGTTCTCAGTTAAATGTATACCTAAAGCAATCAGAATAAGGAAAAAGATGGAGCAAAATACACCTGAGTAGAAAATGAAGAATGGAAATGTTTCTATGATATACATGGTTACATTTGCACAATGCAGCAAAATTAAAATTGAGCAGACTTTTACTTGGGACTAAGTAACTATCCCACACTTGATCATGTTTCGTTTTGATAAGATAATAATTACTATTGACAAGTTTTTACTGAAAATTTTTACTGGGATGCTACACCCAAAAGGTAAGATCCTGCTCAGGCTGCATTTGGGCTGCTTTCAGACTGGTACTAGGCAGCAGCATAGCAGGCCACTTCCTCCAGAACCCCACATGCACCTAGCACAGCTGCTGCCTCTAGCTCCTGCTGCATCCCTGCAGTTATACCAATCACTCTGGGATTCCTTGCAGCTCTAGCTGAATTTCTGGTACATGTGCAGCATTCATCACAGGCCCAGGTGCCATCCCCCAGACTCATCCAAGCAGTTTCCACTGCTTGAGCAAAACTTGAGTAATACAAGCACTTAATGCAATCTTTACTCTTTTAAGTGGTGTTTGCCTCATGCTCCACAGAGCTCCGGAGTTTCCTAGCCAGGCTCCCTCTGGCCAGCTCCAGCCACTCTAGCAGCACCAGCTCTGCAGTGCATAGGTGAGGCAGTAGCCAGGCTGAGCTCAAGCTAGTACATTATTCCACCCACAAGATATTCAGGGACGAGAGAAGACCCAGTTCTCTCACCTGAGAAACACGGACTGCGACTGGATCTCCGCAACACCGCTGGCGGCCGAGCTTCCCGCTATAGCAACAGAAGACGGAGGCAAGCGGCCGCCACCTCCCTAGATAAACGGCCGCTACGCGCCCGCCGCCGCATTTAAACCACGCACCGCCCACCTCGGCTCTGCGCATTGGCGCAACGGCCCCGAGCCGCCCCCATCGACTGCGCGAGGACCAGCCTGGCACCACCCCCTGGCGGGGCAGGAGCAGGAGCGGAGTCGCCACCACAACCGCCATCACACGCAGGACGGTGAAAGTGTCCGGAGAGCAGGATGCCCAGCCTGGAATCCAGGTCATTGCTCCTGTTGCTTTATGTATTTATTTATTCTGGGCCAAACACTGAATGTTTTTCCCTCCACTGGCACATTCTGCATTTGCTGAGTGGATATGTAATTAGATTGCTCAGTGTTTTAGCAGAAATTGTTGGGGTTTGATCTCGCAGCAGAGAAAGGCCACATACCAAGAATGCAGATTTTTGTTTTAAATCCGCCCCCAGAGGAAAATTAGTACATGACAAATATAAAACATTTATTTCAAGATATTTCCACCTGGAAAAAAAAGAAATCTTGAAAGGGCTGCAGCAGTTTTTTGTTCGTTTGCTTGCTCCCCCCTCCTCCACCTGCTTTTAATTACAAGTTAAACTCAGAGCTGACAACTAGGGACAACTGCTTAGTTAACACAGAACCTAGAGTCATGGGGAAGTTGACCCATGGATGCTGTGCAGTAACACTTATGCTTTGCCATTGTTTTGTGTGTTTTCTTGTTAAGAGTTAAAATTTTCAAGTTATGGTGTTTGTCCCCTTTCAGTGACAAGTGAGAAGTGTGCAGTGGCAAGTGCAGCTCAATAAATATCCCCTACTCATAGTAATGTATTTCATTCCCCAAGGTAAACCTTATCCCACGGTAAGACTTAGGCGACATTGAGATGAGAGTTAAGTGTATTATGAAGGTGTACCTCTCCGTCAATAGCTAAAGGGCATGCAAACCTGCTTTATTTGCAGCTTTGAAGAGCCAACTGGTAGTCAGCCTGATCTGTAAATGTGCTGATGAAAACAGTGGGAGCTAGTTTGTGTTTTGCAGCTGAAGTTAGCGATTTATAATTGGAAAGAAGTAGCTCTCACAATTTCTTTTCTTGGCTGTTTATTGCTCAGCTGCTTGGTCCATTACCTTATTGCCAAAAAGGGACAGGGCAAGAAATACAGCCTGTGCCTGACCTGCAGCTTCTGGCCTGTATTTCTCTCTTTCAGTGGTTCTACTCAACAGTTTGCATTCTTCTGCCTTGCCTTCAGCTCAGCTGGAGTTGGCTTTGGCCTTGTTGCTTTTCTTCCTCCTTTGCTATGACATCACAAAGGTTACCTCTTTGTTCCCTGGCAATGGCTGAACTTTGGCAGGAGGAAGGAAGGACAGCATCAGGAGGTTCAGAAAGCTAAAAGTCATGAACTTTGGAGGTAGAAGATCAGATGTGGAAATGTGCTTGAAGATCTGAGTGCTTACACACTGGATAGCAGAACTGGTAACTTTGTGTGGTTGTTAACTTACCTGTTTTGCTACTACCCAATTGCTCTCCCGACTCACGAGCCTTATATCCTACTTGACTTTATTAAGTTGATAATTCTTATGATAGAGCAGCTTACATTCCTTGTTAGCCTAAAAACAGATTGTACCATAATCCTTGGCAGAGTATTACCTCAGATTATCTAGGCACAGTATCACAAAATCAAATAATCACAGAATAGCTGGGAACAAAATGGAGCTCTGGAGAGCATCTAGCCCTCACATACTCAAGCAGAGTTAGATAAAGTCTAAGATTGGAGTTTCCACAGTTTCTCTGGGCAAACTGTTTCAGTGTTCAGCCATCCTCACAGTTAAAATGTGTGTTCATATTTTCAGATAGAATTTCCTCTGTGTCAGTATATGCGTATTGCTTCATATCCTATCACTGGACACTATTGAAATGAGTTGGGCTTTGATGAGATGCTGCACATCTTGTATGAGCAGAGGGCTGAAAAAGAGTCATTTGTGCTAGTTTTACTTACTATTGTTCATCTTTGTAGAGACCAAAATAGGGGATACTTTTAAAAACTAAGCATCAAGCCCCAAATTATCAACTATTTGGGGCTTACCAAAGATTTCTAGAGCCTATGACTTGACTGTTCAGATAGACTGAAGGCCAAAAAGCTGAAAGATGTGTTGTGTTCTTACTGTGATTTATTTTTAAATCATACATTGCTCTTATTTTTTCCCCCTGTCTTGACTTAGGTTAGACCACAATTTGATCCAAAAACTTGTTTGATCATGACAGCTTGAGTACAGAGGCAAAGGAGGAATTGTTGCTTTTGAATGTGAAGAAGCAATCTTAGCTTTTCACTTGAAAGACTATTCTGTTAGAAATGACATGTAATCTAGCCGTAGCTTTCTTCATCTAGGCTTGGTTCATCACCAAAAAAGAAAACAAACAAACAAACGCCCTCAATGGAAGATGACAGTGACCCTGAGCAGAGCTGCTGGGCTGGTTTGCCAGATGTCTGTCTGAGGCATGTCTTCCACTGGCTAGATGACAGGGACAGATCTCGGGCTGCCATGGTCTGTAAAAAATGGAGTCGAGCCATGTACTCGGGATCACTCTGGAGAACCAGAACCATCACATTCAATGGTCGACCATCAAGGGCACACACATTTGAATTTGAAACTGCTCTGTGGTATGTCAAGAAATTTGGCAAGTACTTGGAACATCTTGAAATCAAGTTATTGAATCCTTACAATGCTGTCTTGACCAGAAAATTTCAAGTCACTATGAGAGGTCTTCTCTCACATTTGGGTAAATGCAACAGCCGCCTCGTATCCCTGAGCATCCAGCACCTGGAGTTAGACCGTGTTGTCTGGAAAAGCATGGTAAGGGCTCAGTTTATAAAGAACTTAGGAACCTTCCTGAAAAGAATGGGCAAACATCTTGATTATCTCAACTTAAAAGGAGCAAGAGTGACATTGGAGGAAGGCTGTCAGCTTCTAAATTCTCTGAGCTACTTGAGAAACAAAAGCTTTATATCAGAAGTCAATATTGAAGATTTCTTTAGTCTCCACCTTCCCATCTACAGCAGTACATTGTTCCACCAAGTTGTGTCTAAGTTCCAAAGCCTAGTCATCCTGACTTTCAATTACAACTGCATCTCTGATGAACTGCTGGACATCTTGTGTAAGCACAGTGCTCATTCTCTCTGTACCCTGAATATCAAATGCCACATCCATGACCCTCATGGGCAAGTGGTCTGGGGGATGTCATGGGCAAACCTGGCCAAGAGAGCTCCCCAACTGAAAGTGAACTTCTTCTTTGAAAGAGTCATGAAGCATGATCACCTAGCCAGGATCCTGCTAGTAGAGATCCCAGTCAGGAGCATCAGTTTACGGAGCTGCTATTTCAGTGATCCAGACTGGACAATGAGACCTACCCTCGTCAACCTCCTCCCAGCCTACAGACATGTTCTGCAGGTAGGGGGGCAGTAATAATATCTTACTGTGATATCACAGGGCTCAGCAAATATTCATACTCATACAGGCCTTCTGCCTAACGGCAGGCATCAATGGGAATGCTTAACCACAGGAGTTCTATGTTCAGAAGGTAATTTTCATAAGAGACAGTCATTTCAGCACCCCAGTAACCATCTTTGTCCAGTTAAAATCCCCATCATGCTGCTACTTACTAATGTCAAGCTAGTGTCAGATTGCCCTCCTAACTTCCTTATCCTCTCATATTTTCTGAAATCTGCCCTTTTGTAGGGAAGTGGCATATCAGGAAAATACATGTTTTGTTTACAGGGCTGTAGGCTGCCTGAAACTACATTTAGAGTTTTGCTCCTTTTTGACAATGTACAGATGTTTTGCAGTATGTGTGAATTAACTGATGCCCATGTTAAGATACATGCCAAAGTTGGTCTAAGCTGATCTTTGTTAATAAGCACCATCCTGTGCATGCTTGATGGAAGCAGATGGCCTTATAACTTTAAGTTCTGTTGCACTGCAGACTTTCCATCAAATACTGCAGATTTGCAAAGCTCTCTAGAAATTGTCTTTAGATGAATTTTTTTTTTTCTGGAATCATTTCTGAAACATGAAGTAATACCATGGCATGAGCTGTGGGTGCGGCACCTTCTGGATGGTATTAAAAGTTGTTTGTCTGAGAATGATGTGCATTGCACAAGAGATCTCCATCTTAATGGTAAAGTGGCAATTATGATAGCATATGCTATTGTAATTATAAATGTGATTCTCTGCTATTGCCAATGTACAGAATTGATCTGCTGACAATAACTTCTGTTGGTAAAATTGGAGCAGCCGTTGTTGATTTATTTGCTTATTTCTGCTTTTAATAACAAGCTTTGAGCTGTATAAGTACTAACAGTGTTCTTTTTTTTTCAAGAAATTAACTCTTGAAGTAAACAATGACCATGAATTGCTGGATGATGAGCTGCTACAGCTTATCTTATCATGCAAGAGGTTGTTTTTTTTGAAAGTCTGGGCATTTCTTAGTGTCACCTTTATGGAGAAGCTTCTACAAAACCGTTCAGAAAAGAAATGCATTTTGACTACCATAAAGGTAAGAACCAGTCCTGCAAAGCTCCTTTTCCTCTCTCCCATCCCCAAAGGCAATTTTCCTTGCCCCCATGTAAAGGTCATTTATGAAAATATTCACAGAATCACCTTCCCTGTATTATATTGCAGCGTGATATGCAAGGATCCTGACTGCTACTCGCAGAAATCAGTCTCTCCAATTTAGGCATGCACAGAATACTGTTAAAGTTAACTGACCCCAGCTATTGCACAAGTCTTTGCTAGGCATAGGGTCCTCTGCCACCTCTCAGTTCAAGCTAGGGATCCCTAGTCCCATCCTAGGCCCAGTGCTTGGGTCTTTGCTTAATTTGAAGCATATGGTTGAATCTCAGGAAACTGCAAAAGGGTATAAATATATCTCACTGAAAAAAAAAAGGATGCTGTATTGAACTGACGCCAGGCTACAGCAGTAGTTAGAGAAAATCATGCTTTCACAATCCTTTGCCTGCCAGACTAAAGCTTCAGTAGATCCTCACAGATCTCTCACAGATCACAGGGTTGTCTCTGTTGTGGGGGCCAAAGGAGTCCTATTCTCCTCCAGAATTCTTTGGTAGAAGATAAATCTGAGTCTTCACTCAGCCCAGAGTGAAAACAGAGTAATAACCTTGGAATTTTGATTCAAACCCAAACAATTTAGCTCCTCTAGCTTCCTTCTTAGTCACAGAGATTTCCTGTTGCAACCAGTTTTAACGGCTGAGCCATGTAGCTGAGAGACATGACTACCATTCATGCACACAGGTCAGGATTTACACAGCTCGACAAGAGACCAGGGAGGAGGATCGGCTGTTGCGTGATATTTACAAGAAGTTCAAATACCTGATTGATTCAGAGCTTAATTATTTTGTCATCACCTACCCAATGGTGTAAGCCACAGAGAGAAAGAAAAACATCCAGTCACACCTGCAAATGATGAACCGATCCTTCGGAGCATATTAGTAAGGCATTTGAATCTTTTCAGCAATGATGCTGAGAGATACCATTAGAACAAGAGGAATGCAAGGGACAATTTTACAATCCTACAAATTAAAATGTTGGATTTGGGAACTGGCCTTCCACGTCTCCACCATTATTTATTCTTGCATTTGCTTTTTTTTTCCCAGCACTAAGACATTTTTCACTATTACATTTGATATATACTGTTTTGCCAGTTCTTAAAACCTGCCATGTCTAGTCCTAAGGGTCTACCCTCTGCAGTCTTCTAATAACCGGCTTATGAGGGAACTCCTACTCTAGCTTCCACAAATTCTGGACTCCATGGCAAAAGATACCAGGGGTTGCACTCAACGAGCAGGAGGAAGGGATGTTCCTTCTTACTCTGTAACTTTATTGCTAAATGAGAGATTTCATCAAATGCTGGGGAGTATAGATATCTGTAAAACAGAGAACTGGGCATGCTAAGTGTCCTTTAATTCCCTCACAAAACTAGAACCTGTAGTGCATTTTTGACTCCAACTTGGTACTCCCTGCCTCTGAGCAGAAGCTAATGTCTTAGAACACATGGAGCCTCATAGTGTGACAGTTTCAAACATTGTTAATGGAAACAGATTCCCTCATTTGCATGCAGAGCACTTCATCAATGTACAGTGTATTCTCCTTGACCTGGATCTCCTCCTCCAAGAGAAGTTGTTGACGGCTTAGACCTTTCAGCTCTGCTTTAGCTTGTGCCAATGTGTCCTTTAACCTAACAGGAAAAGGAAAAAAATAAAGACAGCTGAAAAACATGGATATTTTTCATATAGGATAAGAAACTTAGTGAAAAACCCGCAGAAGGAGAGTCACACAGAGAAATAGCCATGTAACTTCCCCTCAAGTGTCCCATTCYTTAAAAAAAAAAAAAAAAAAAAAAAAACAGTAAGCTATTCTACAAATTTCCAACTCTTTCATCATCCTCCTTACCTCTTAACATTGTTTGTAATTTCTTGAACTTCACTAATTAGCCTGTACTGCACTATGTCACAGCACAGTTCCACATTGGGGCGATGTGTTCTTGCCTCTAAGCGAGTTTGAGCCACTTGAATGGGTCCTTCTTTATCAGATATCGCTTTCTCTAAAGTTGCAATGTTCTTCTCCTGTGAAGCAGTCTCATCCATCACCTTAAAAACCCAACAGAAGGAAGTGCTGCACACTGCCTCTTAAAATAAGAGCATCAACATATTTACTAGCTTTTGTACTAACAATCACAGTAAAACTCATGGTGTTTTAAGGTGTATTTCATCGAAACATTTTACAAAGGTTTTATAAGGATTATTATTCCTTTATTGGAAAGGAAGTGAGCAAGAGTTGGGAATTAAACTCTGCAATTAACTTTTCAATATTCACATTAAAGTTCAGTTTTCATATATCTTATTTGAGGTAGATTGCTCCTGTTTCTCTATGCTTGTAGATTTTGCATTACAATCATGAAAAAAAATCTTGCGAAGGTGAAGATTTTAAAGAATAATAGCTCATGAAACTGACAGAACAAGTTGATGACCCTGTTCCACTGTTTCCACCATTTCTGCTGACTGACCCACCTACCACTCACCATTGCAAGGAGTGTTTCTAGCTTCTGTTTTGCATCTTTGACTTCCTTCACCCTATTTCTAAAAGCAGCATTTACTGTCTCATATTGCTTGCGCACATCATTTACTGTCTGAGAGAGGATGTTGTCAATCAGTGCCCTCAGTGCCAGAGAACTGTTTCTCTGTTTGTCCGCCTTCTCAATATTTGTGTTTGAAAAATCAATCCAGTCTTGAAGGCTCACAGAACTGGAAGAGATACAAAATGAAAGGTCATCAGCTGTCAGTATTAGACTATCTGTGAATTCATAAATCTATACATATTACTCCACAAAATCCAAGTATTAGTGTTAAGAACAACAAAGCACTATTATGAATTGCAGACCCCCAACCAGCATCAGCTGTGCTGGGAATTTTACAGATAAAAATAAAGACTCTCTGCCTCAAACATTTCAGAGGAAGCAAAGGTAGAATGCAAACCAGTGGGACAAAGTCACAAGCAAGTTTGTTACACCATTTGTTTTTCCTGATGAGGGATTTAGTTGCAGGGGTACCCAGATAACTAGTATTTCTCAGGACACCTTTCGTTAATGATGCTTTTATTGACAGATTAAGCAGTTGCTTTTAATGGCAGGTAACTGTTTACACAGTGCATTTACTTACTCTCTCATAGTTCACATACACACTAAAGTAGTCACTAATAATTACGTGGCTGGAGCAACTGTTGGGAAGCCACATCTGCCTGTATATGCAAAAGTAGAAGGTCCAAACAGTGGCTTGTAAGGAGGTGTTTGGAAAGACCCTCAAAAGGTCCCTGTTTTCACTGGATGTATGTATAACCCTGTAGTCATCATTTGCATATGTGACAGATATGCTCCTTTCCCAGCTCAACCTGAGCTACACCTTACATGCAGCCCTGTTCAGTTGCTAATTTTGTCACCTCCCCGCCCCCACCCCGCATATTACACAGACAGTGAAGTATTAGACAGTATAAAAAAATACTGTGATGGACATATAATCTGTCATACAATTACTTTAATTGTTCTGTTGTCATAAAATGCATACTAGCTGTACCAGCTGAATGAATGTTCACTGAAATAACCACTTACTTTCCTTCCATTTTCATTGCATTATTAGCATATCTGATATCAGGTGTGTTGTTTGTCAAGCCAGCACAGTAATCATCAATCATTAAAGCTGTGAACTTGTCCCTCAGATCCATTTCAAGCAGGTACTTTGCTGAACGGTTCAGTCTAGAAGGAAAAGCAACCAGACTCTGAACATAAATTGACTGAACAGCAGTCTTATCCAGCTCTTAACAGCGGTAAGCTTGTCAATGAGCCAGTATCTAAACACTAAGGCTGTCCAAATGATCAGGCATGATAGGCAGTGCAAATGGCTATTACATCATTAGACATCAAAATGTCTAAATTTTGGAATTCTGCATGTATGAATTGTTAATTGCAAAGCCTACAGATCTAGAGCAGGATGCTGCCTCTGCAGAATTGATGGTATAATTCCCACTGTAATTAAAGGCATCCTCTGGATCCTTGGATCACCAAGGATCATGTGCTAGTACTTTCAGTTCTAATTAAAACTAATTTCCTACTAATAATGGTCAACTGGATAAACTAAACTGAGCTTTTACAGCTTGCTTAGCTCTGAAGGCAACTTTGGACCCATGCTCAGCCTAATTCCTAGAGATTCTTAGGAAGATGTTGTCCTGCTTTTCAGCTACCCAGTGGTCAGTTAAGCTCTTTGGCACTTCACCTGATTTGCTCATTGGTTTGTCCCAATGTACGTTCAAGCAAAACAATAACTCCTTTTATGACTTCAGCTTCCCTGAGCAGCTCCTGTTCCACTTCATCATGGACCAAGTCAGTCCCAACTCGCTTCTCCCTAAAGAAAAGAAGGAAAAGCCATCGGCCACATTGTTTAAGTGTTTGCAGTTAACTGAAAATGGTGAAGTCCAGTTTTCCATAACCAAGCCTTTTCCTTGCTACACTGGAAACAGTCATATTTCTATTATAGTCTTGGTTCCCCAGTATTACACCACACAGATCAGACTGTGACTCTACTACGAAGAGAGGTAAGACTTCGGTTTGCCACCTTTTTATTATTTGTTAATGGCTCATTATCTGTATTGTTTCTCCTTTTCATGCTTTTCTTTCTTCATCTCACCTGTTCAGGAGACACTGTTGAGCAATGACAAGTGGCTCTTTGCATCTTTCTAAGGCTTTCTCTATCCTGGTTTTGAAAGTCAGTAGTACCTCTGTCTCATTAACAATCTGTTTGAGCTTGTCATCTAATTCTTGCTTCCAGAATTTTATTTCTTCCAGCCTCTGTTCTGCAGATTGAAAATTGCGAATAAGTGTTAGTACAAGCCCATCTTCTGTGACAGTGTACTGTGGATCAGGCCTTGGCTAAGGATAGAAATAGACCCCATCCTCAGTGAAGAACATTTAGTGCTTTAGGCTAATTTTCAGAGACAGTTTTGCAACCCTGTGTCTGGAAATCGGAATGGAATATCTTTCTGTGTGTTTCAGACCAGTAATTTATCTGCTGTAAAATTGAGAATCTACCTCAAAATATTTTCAAAGTACTTCATTTTTTTTCCTATGAGATCAGGTGACAGCATTTACATGTACTCCTATTGCTAAGTCCATCTTAATCACATTGCTCAAATAACATATGTTGACACTAGCAGAACACATAGGATTACCTATTTTCTTGTTGACATCTCTTTGGGTTTTCTGAGTTGTCTTTTCTGTGTCATCCACCAGCCTCTGACTCTCAGCAGTCGTGCGTTCTGAACTGGATTTCTGAGACTCTGTACTGGCACACTGCATCTTGTTTGCAATGTGCCAGTCCGAGGAAAGATATTTGCCTGGAGCTTGCAACAATTTGGCCATTGTGTTTTGGAATAGTTCTGACTGTAAAGCAGAACAGAGTCACAGGCCAGTTCTTGGGATATGTAACCTGGAAACAGCAAAAGCATTATTTTTGGTTGCAGAAGCTAGAACAGGGAAAGACAAGTCCATGGTGGATGAAAAGATTCTTGGCCCTTTTACCTGCAAAATAAGGAAGCTATGTGAAGACTTTTCCTGTTCAAGGTTCTCCCAAGACTTTGCTAAGAAGATGGGGGGGATAAGATTTGGACTGGGAGAATGACAAAATGGAAGAAAATGGAACTGGAAGCTAGGAGAAAAGAGATACTAAGCACCTTGAAAGTGGAACTGAGAAGACAAAATGAGCCTTCAGTTATGGGATGAGGAAGAGAAGGGAAAGAAGTATTAAATAGACAAGCACAGAGAAGTGAGGGGAAAAAATAATAATAAAAACAACTAAATATAAAAGATAATCTCCCACTAGTTGCAGGAATAAGTTTTAAGAATATGGCTGGAGAGCTAGATGAGATCTACATTGTAATAAGAAATCACATGGTGGTTAGAAATGAAAACGGAGAAAACAGGACCTCAAAAATGAAGGAGGAAATACATCAGATAAATGGAGAAATGAAAAAGCCCAGAGAAGGCTAAAAGAGAACAAAGAATTAAGCCTGCTGGTTGAGTCTTTTAAGTCACATCAGTTTGATTGAATAGAAAATTACCTGTCGTTGCTTATCTGATGTTTATCAGACAAATATTCACCCTCTCTGGTTACGTGCCATGTCTTCAGTTCTCCGTCTTTGGAAGGTTTGCCCCCAACAGTCTTCCAGCTTCAGTCTCCTTGGCAGCAGTACCTGTTCTCTCTTCAAATATGAGACTAAGAATTCCAGGAGGAGGGTCAGAGCAGCACAGAAGTAAACAAACTGGTTGCTATGGGAACAGCAGCACTGCATCGTAGCAACCAGACCAGCTTTTTCTCCCAGCCAACTCAATTGACTACGGCTTCCTTTTCCTCATTCCAAGATAAGCATCTGTCTATCTACCTGCTGATCTGTCATGCTGAACCAGATCTCTTTTTTAAAAAAATTTATTATCTATGTCATTAATT